TATTATTCGTTTAACGAAATAATAAATAAATATGTTTACAATTGCGCCTTAATCATTTATCACGTTTAAACGAAATAATTAATTCGTTTAAACGAAATAATAAATAAATATGTTTACAATTGCGCCTTAGGGGCTCCGTACATTTTAGATATAGAAATCTGTAGTTATATTTTCCCTAATTCAAATTATTTTTTTTCTTTATTCTTTAATAATTATATGTGTTGTATACACGATTTGCCTGAAACAAAGAGTTAATTTTTTTTAGGCAATCTTTATTGGTTTGGTCTTATGGTCAATTTCAACTGGATATCAAATTGTGTATTGGATTATTAAAAAAAAAATTAATTGTTATGTGTCTCATAAGCCTCTTCTTTCTTTATATATTTATATTTTAATGATATGTGACACTTATTAAATAAAATAACTTATATTTCTATTATCTTAACAAATCGCAAACAAGAAGGGTTTAATTAATGACAATCATTAAAAAATGACAATTACCCAATTAAAAAGGTTGATAACTGTAATTTATTGTAATTAAATGATTAAGTAAGGTTTATGAAAGGAGGTACCTCCACCTAGTCTTTCTGACTGGAAGCGAACGTGAACTTGTCATCTACCTACCTACCATAGTCTTTCTTTTCTAACCCTTTACATGAGAACTGGTTTTACCTCACTTTAATTTGTGACAAGTCTATGCAGTCCAACATCTGTCTTACTGTCAATGGCCGCCAATTTCTACAAAATAAGGAATTCGACCCCATGCTGCTACATGTAATCTCATAAACTTGTCATTAACAATTGGTACTTCATCCTGTGTCAGTGACTTGTTGTCTTTCAACTACCTAATCTCTAATCTCTAATTTGTGATGAATGAAACTAATTTGCAAAGCGGTATTAGATTATATTGAAATTATATAAGATAAATTACTATTAATACACCTGTATCACATTTTCTATGACTTTTGTTCACCTCAAATCATGGCATGCCTTGGTCTTGCAAGAATATTGCAATTTCAACACAATTCAGCATTGTTGAACAAGTCAAATTTGAATAGAGTTAGATAAAATTTTATATCTAAGAATAACTATACAATTTATTCCAATGGCTTCCTGATATTATGTTAATCCATCACAATAATTGATAAAGATTAACAGGTTTTTAATTAGTTTATCATATGTTCATTAGGGGAGGAAACCACTCAGAATAGGGGCTGAAACCACTAGGATTAAAAAGAGGTGGAAACCACTGGGGGGAAAACCACCAGGGAGGAACTTGTAAAGGGAGGAAACCACTACATGCCGTTTGTAGTTGTACTTGGTTGTGTAGTGTACATAGTTCTCTATCTATGTTGCCATTGTTGGAACTATGGGGGCATATCGAAGTGGGGGAACAGCAGGCCTGTAACCATTCCAATGTTCCAAGGGGGTGGCTTTAAAACTCTAGATCCTACAAAACTAAAAAAAAATTAGCTTACTGCAGTACCGGTACTGGGTGTCTAGGTTGTTGCAAATTCCATTATTATGATATGAATATTTGTTCATATGATTTTATGGAGGGTAATCCTCAGTCCGATATGGTTACTTTCACTGGATATTTCTGCATTACAACTTTTATTATTTCAATAAGTTTTATTTTTAGATGACTGATGGAGAAAGTCAACCTAAGGGTCCGGTTATGGGGACTATGATTTTTCCTATGGTTAAAATCCCTGGTTTAACAGACTTTACTCATGGTAATTTATCAGGTCAAAGAACTCTTTGTTCTGGAATGGATATGGACTTACAAAGATGCTTAGCACGTGTTGGTCTGAACAAACATTTGGAGCTTTGTTCTAAAGAATCTGAAGATTTCGTTGAATGTATGTCACATTCAAAACAGGTAAAAACATATAGTTTCATAGAGATTATTTCATTAGTGTGTACTCATGTTTTAGATAGAGAACACTGTCATCCTGTCTTTTATTACTTAAATAACATATTGCATGGAAATATTAATCTGTGCTGGCCCAAGAGTTGCAGGATGCACACTTTATATTTTTAAGAAACTGTCCTTTTTTTGTGGAAAGATATTGCATGGCAGTAGGACAAACACTCGTTTTATTTTTATTTGGTCATAGAGTGAATAGTTTCATATATTTTTCTTTGGGTTATATTGTAGCGTGAACGATATGAAATAATGAAAGCAGAAAGAGAAAGACAGAAGAAAGCTCCATTACCACCTCCACCTTATGATAGTTTGGGAGCTGTTTTACCGCAATAGTGTTATATGAGGAATATTGATTCTGCTCTAAAATATACAAGTTCCATATTTAACTATTATCAAATATTTAGATGATTGTAAGTTTTGTTGTAAATGGGATTAAACTCTCTAGTATTCATTTTGCTTGCAATTTTAAATAAATTGATAGGGACAGGTTTTGCCATCTGTTTCACCAATCTACTTTAGTCTAAAAAAACGGGAATTTTTTAGTTTAGCTAATCAGTAATAGTGTTCACAGCTCACCATCAAAATTTGAGCCTACAAATTCATGTGTGTCCAGATTATCTGCGTTTAAAAGTTAAAATGATGTCTTTCTTTTCTAGTGCAGGTACGATATATCAGTGAATCAATGTATCATATTGCAAGGATGTGTATTGATACCTCAACGTATGACAAAGTGGGGACACAATTTTTTTTTTCACTCCGGTTTTGGTAACTGTTATAAGACAGTGGAGGTTAACCATTCCTATTACTACATAACCAAAATCACAGTTATAAATGAATATATTGAAATTTTGAAGATATGATGTTAATTTTTATCCAATTACCTCATATAGTGATAGGTATTGTTTGTGACCTTTGTATTGCGAACTGACAAACCATTGCTTTAAAGATGGGTTTTCCTTTTTTCATTCATGAAAATGAAAATACTAATACCTATATGAATAGAAAATAGAGGTGTTCTAATGACGTGGAAAAATACCAACTTGTCTTACATGTTCATAATTAATTCATAATTAGCTAAATTAGAAGAGAATTACCAGCAGAATGAGTGACTGATCAAAAAGGTCTTAATAAAGTTTTTTTGTTATCCAGACTGCACATTAATGATTGGTTAAACTCTTAATTACATGCATAAGAACATAATGATATGATTAAGATTACATGATAATTAATTAAAAACACAAATAAATCAAATAATGTGCTAATTTGACACAAAAAAAATATGGCAACCCATCTTTAATAATTACAAAATAAATTATTGCTCTCAATCTTTCTGTAGTCCAGAAATGCTTTATGGAAGTATTGTGGCCCATTAGCTTGCAGATTTGACAAAAAGAAGAGAGCAACCATTGACTTAGTATAATGCATCAGAATTTTTCTTGCCTTGAGGAGGATTTGAACCCACAGCACCTAATCGTCTAGCAGACATCCAACTCGCTACAGATTGATCTATTCCACTGCCACCATGTGTAGCTTACATAATGAAGATTGAATAACCTTTCCATACAGCATTCATTGTGCTTATGATTTTATCTTGGACATGTCAGCCAAGAAAACTAAAGTGAATCACAAATTGTCTACATCTTTTGTGCTCATATTGCCTTTGCAAAGAATACGTATTTCTGAACAGGTAGTCTTCCAACAAGAAATCTGTTATCTTATTAACTTACCCTATAAAATAAATAGAACGGGATTGATTAGACATTCTCTTTATTACATAATTATTTCATATACATCAATTTGTCTATCATAGGCCTGTATACATAATAGTTTATTACTTACATATACACAAATATAGTTGTACCGAATCAGTTATGTATACCCACAGCGAGCTTTGTACATATCAAGAATAATCAATAAATACAACTAGTCAACTTAGTCATATGTAGTTGTTCAGTAAACAGAAAATAATACTGATTTCTTGTGCTAAAAAGAGGGACTGATAGAGTTCAGTCCATTATATCTTGAAAAGTTCTATCCAGACTCTTGAAATTGAAATGTAGTACACAAAGATACAAATCATGACAACAAAGCGCTTGATTAGTAGAAAATTTGCAAACGAACACAGAAGGTGTAGATGTCGGCAATTTAGTGAATAAAAAAATTAAAACAACAAAACTACAGATAAAATCATAAATAATCATCAACAAACAACTTAAATATATATTTTTAACTTAAATCAGTAAAGCATTTCTTACTAAAAATCAAGAGTTTCTAACTTTTAAGTTCACTTAAATTGCTTAATATTACAAACTTACCATACATTTTTTGGATATATAGTAATGTGAAAAATTCATAAACCAACATTTTCTAATAAGTGACTTTTGATAACAATACATGAAAACTGACTACAGTAAAGTTCTGTAAAACTTAATTCATGGGTCAAAAATTCATTTGGTTTGTTTAAAAATTGCAAACTTACAGTTCTAATAAAACCAAGAATGTCTGAATTTGAATTAAGTCAGTTACTGGTTATTTATATATGTTATTTTAATCTTTTGATAGTCATATGATGTGCATAAATATTTTTTCTACTGTAAGATGTCAGGAAAATTTTCTTATTATGACATACAAATAGTATCAATAAAAATTCACCCTGGAATCATAGTCATAGTAGGGATATTTCTGAACAAAAAAGCAAAATTTAGCAATAAATTAATAGCAAACCTTATTCAATAATGCCAATATGAATAAAAGAATGAAAAGCAATCATAAGTTTCTATTAATCAGCAATGACAGTTGATTTGATCTCTATTATCCAGACTTCATCAAATATGTCTGCAAAATTGAGGTGGATTTGAATGGGAATTTTGTATGGAAAGACAATTTTGTTTGCATTAAAAAAAGACAATCCCAACTTCAATATTCCAGATAGTATTTATGGTTATAATTGGTTTCAATAGAACTTGAGCCATAACCACAGAAATTGCAATTGCTAGACAATGCAAGATTGTAAACAAAATACATCTAACTATTGTAAGTTTTAAATTAAGTCATAATACTACAAGTAACATATTTTTGAATTTACGATCTTCTTTTTAACATAAGAAACTTAAATTTAAATTTTTTTTTACTGATGCGCGAATGAACTAGAGCTGTACGATGTGGATCTATTTTCCTGACATGACAGACCAGCTCAAATGTTCCAAGATCCACAGCCTTTGTTTATATGCCAAAAATACAGTTTGCAAATTACCACAAAAATTCATGTAGACCTTTAATCACAACATTTACACTCAACTGACACTCAATTCACAAATCAGTAAATATTTCAGATATATCAATATCAAATCTTAAGTATTGAATGATGTTATTTAAAGGAATCGTAATCGTAACTGTCTGTAGAACTTGATTCAGAATCTTCAGTCTCATTACTTGACTCTTCATTTCTCCATTCAGAATTCACTAATTGATTCTCATGTTGTTTTTTCCAAAAATTATTGTGTTCAGAACTAGAAGAAGGATTGACAGAGTCACATTCCCCAGGTGGAAGGTTTATGGAATCTGCCACTTTTTCAATACATGTATTAACATCATTCACAGAATGAGTCCTATCAACACTTGAAGAACAGTCCTCTAACATTTTAGAACAAGGAAGAGAAGTAAAAAGATTTACAGCTTCACTTGATGGTTCCTCAAGTCCTCCAACTTGAGAATTTGGCACAACAATCTCTTTATCTAGTGAATTGACATTACTAGGAGGTAAAATTTCACCACTGGTGGAAGATTGAAGATCACAGTTAAGACTAACATTTATGGGTTCAGTTGTCACACAAACAGAATTTGATTCTCGAGGATCATCACTTGAAATATTAGATTGCTTAACATTGTTCATGGAGGGTAGTAAAGAAGCAGGTTCAGTCTCCACTAACTGTTTATTGACTGACATATCACTGCATTTATCACTGATTTCTACATCTGGTTCAATATCCCATTCCTCCTCTCCTTCCTCCACTTGGCCATGAATAACTGTAGAGTCTGAGCTATCTCCACCAACCAGGTCTATCTCAGTTGATAATCCTGAGCTTGTTGGTATACTTTGTTCTTTAAGAATGCGATAAGAATAATCTTCTGAGGGTTTTCTATTTTTAACTTTACGATAACTGTCACCAAATACATCCAAATCTGAATTTTCATTATTATGTCCAGTTAAATCAGAAATGTCTAACTTTCCGTCTGTTGAGTCTACAACATTCGAATCTGAGCTTGAATCTTCAGTGCCAGAAACACTTATTACCGGTATAGAAGAATTGCTTTGATTTATTGCAAAATTAGAGGGATAACTTTCATCAACTGTTACAATATCTAAAGGGGGTGATAGAATGACTGATTCATCACTGGATATGGAAGTTGTCTGTGATGACGTCACTGTCGATGGCTTAAGGCCACCAGAGCGAGAACTGCTTCGTCCATGAAATTTATTAGTCTCATCATGACCCTGTCGTAAATCGAGTGGCAAGGCATCAACATCAACAATTTCATTTGAGTTGAAAGAAGATAGTGGAGGGAAATGCATTGAAGTGAAAGAAGAAGAGTTGCGAAGCCATGAGTTGTAATATTTTGGATCTGATGCTCGAAGTGGAAAAGCTGGACGACAATGCCATGTCTGAGGATTGTAATCAGACAAAAATGCATGCTGAAAGCTCTGTAGTACATTGGAATAAAGTGCAAGGCTGTCATTTCGACTGACTGGTCCCATCAATGGATCACCTCTCATCATTACACTGGAAAAGGATGGGAGGAAACTTTGATTCATAGAGGACATTGGAGTTGGGAGGGATTGACTTGTACTATGCTCCGTTGTTCTTGATTTTTTATGTCCAGTTGGGTGCTTTTTACATGATTTGCTAGTGGTGGAAGATGGTGTTTCCAACTCTAGTGATTCTTTCAACACATCATCATGAACTTTCTCTAAGTTAACTGATGTTAAATCCAAAACCCCAGCTAGTTGTGAATCTCCTTCTGCAGCAACAGGTGCCTCACCTCTTTTTGCAATACTGGAGGCTATTTCTACTGGGTTAAGAGTATCACAAACACCACTGACTACATCAATAAATGATCTAGCAGATCCACTGGTCTCCGAAGTATGTGCTGAGGAGGTTGCAGAAGATGTTGGTACAGAAGTCACAGATTCATCTTCATAAGCATCAGTATCCTCCTGAGAAGCTTGTTCAGTATTTCCAACAACTACAACTGAACTCTTAAGTTTAGAATGTTTATGAGAAGAATGTTTATGCTTATGTTTTTTGTGTTTCTTTTTCTTCTTATGAATACTCACTATTTCTACACTTGGACTACGATTCTCTCTTTTTTTCCTCTTTTCTGCAGAATGGCCATGAGAAGTTGATGGAACAGTATGAGAACTTGAAGGAAGATCTACAACAGATGTAGAAGGAACCTCTATTTCTTGATTTGAGTGTTTATGTTTTCGTTTTCTTTTGACCCGATGCGAGTCATAATCAGTAAAACCCTCTGCAGAAGTCTTTTGTCTGCCAGTATCAGACATCTCAGGAGATGTAGAGCGTCTGTGAAAAAGTATGTTGGCTCTATTTCTATAATGAGAATCCCTCCAGGATCTTGATTTGTGCTTTTTACGTCTATGGGTTGAGCTTGTGGAGGGGCCATCAATTGTGAATGATGCTGACTGAGAAAAGAGAAGAGAGCTCTGATGGTCTGCACTTATGGATGGCATAATATTATTGGATTCTTTTGATTTTCTTGACCTTTTCTTTTTCTTCTTTTCTTTTAGTTTCTTTTCTTTCACAGGTCTCTCAATCTCTGTTTCAGAAGACAGATTGATTGGTGACCGTTCCTCCCAAGGCTTGTCATAAGCAACCACCTGCACATCGCTGCCTGCAGAACTTAATGAATCTGCACTGGAATCAACTTCAGTATCAGAAGCACCAACAGAACGTTTCAAGCTTGGAATGAAACTCTTCTGTCTCGATGGAGGCATGATTGGTTCAAAGCCCCAAGAAGGTCCTGGTGTTGGGGACATCCATCCTGCATTCTGTAAAAAGTTTTGATTTCTTGGACTGTCAACTGTACTGGTGACCTGGATTTCTGAGCTTATGTCTGGAAGGTTAATATATTCACTGGTTCTTTCATTGGCTGGTGCAGCCTCGGATGATATAAATTGAACATCACTATCATCATCACTAACAGAGTTGATTGTGGAGGAATCGGAAGACACAGACTCTGCAACATGTTCATACATAGCCTTTTTATCATATACAACCATGCAATAAGGACACTTGGCGAATGACTCAAACTCTCGCATGAATTGCCGGGTGTGACGACCAATAAAAGGAGAGACATGTTGGTAAAAGTCCTCACTACCAATGTCAAATCGTTTAACAAGACCCATTATTAGTTCAAGAAGAAACTGAACGTGTAATTCTTCATCGTGTAATAAAGCATTCAGTTCACGATTCAACCAAGGAACTAATCGGTGAGTGAGAGCTGGGTTCCTTGTAAAAAAAGCGGGTGAACACTCTCTAACTCTATTGTTGGCACCACGAATACCAGTCAAACGCATTCCGTTTGTATAAATTCTACGTCTAAAATCAGAAGTTGAGGCTTGTCGTCTACGATTCCAATTTTGTCTTGCCATTTCATAGGCTTGTACTGGGTAATTGGTTGGTGCACCAATTGCTTGGAGTTGTAGGACTGTCTCTGGATCTGTAACTGGATTTCCAATGACTCTATTTCGTAGATTGAAAACTCTATCTTCAGTCAAAGTTGTTCTATACCGGAAATTGCGACTGTATGGATGTTCAGGGGAACGTGGTCTACTAATGATCAAATGATATTGGTCATAGTCTTCATAGGAACGGACATTATGTATGATGCTTTTAAAAGATTGTTTACATAGGGGACATTCATTCTTAACCTTCGACCATTCAAGCAGGCAGACAAAACAAAACATATGAAAACAGCTATCTGTAAAGGATTTGTTTTCCAGTTTGCCAAGGCAGATGGAACAGTTTGGATCTGGTGAGCCAGAAGATCTTGCATGTGTGTCAGTCTTGGCTTCATCTTGTCCAGTATCTGCAGGAGGTGATGTTGGTTTGACTACTTCTTCGGTTTTTTTCTTTGAGTTGGACGAACCTTTCTTCTTTTTTGATCTAGTCTCTATTGAACTTGAGTCAGCCATTGTTCTGAACCTGAAAAATAAATTATAAGCCTGAGTAATCAACTTTTTCAGCAAGAAAATTTCAAATTTTTTTTAAGGTAAAGCAATCTTTGTATTAATTTTCTAATCTAATTTAAACTTTTCATAATCACAAATGCTATTAAGTAGTATATAGTAATTATGAACATAATATAAATTAATAACCAAATAGCTCTTAGAATCTATGATAATCTCATATAGTTAATTTTGATTATAAGTGCATTAAATATGAGAAAAACATTTTAATATGCATGATACTGTTAGTGTAAAAAAACTTGGCCTGCATGCTATTCTGTTGAATAAACTAGACTAAGGGCCAAGTCAATATAAGACTCCCATGTCAAAATTTCGAAAAGATAAGCTTACATGTGTTAAACTAAAACTTGGCTAATAAGAGTATGGCCTATATATTCATTTTTAGACCTACCCAAAGCTATAACCATAACAGAATCCCTCTATCTATAATCGGATAAATTCATGAATCAAAGAAATACTTCATGAAACTAAGGGCCAACTCTGCATGGAAATACGGGTTGAGTATCAGCACGTTTAAGGTCAGACATAAAAATGTTACTTTTTATGGGAGTTGCTCTGATCTATTTTTCGCCATGACAAAAGCCAACTTTATACGACATATTCTATACCATGTATAATGTCCTTGTGCCCCCTATGGTACCACAATGCAGTCAAGGGTTGGCTTTCCCTTTCTTCCTAAATCTCTGTAAAGGGAACTGTATTGTAATACCGTTTGATATTGACACTTATATTGATACTCTTATTGTGACCAAGTTTGAGAAGTTAAATTATGAGCATTCTAAGTAAGACTAAGAGGTAGTATCTCTTTAAAATAACTAGATCTATGACATACCAGCCACGGCAGAGGTCCATTCACATTAAAAAATAGACTGTCAAATCCTATTTAGAAATGAAAATGAAAATAATTTTAAAAGAATTTTTAGAATTGTACATAGTCATAAGACTAGGGAATCAAAAAATGCAACATATCACGAATACGGGTTTTGACATGGTCTCATTAACCTGTGTTAAAAACTAAGCCCACTACACATTGTTTTTGGGGCGTGGAAATGAGATTGGTTGTATTCAAATCTAACAAATCAGATTGGTAGAACAGAAATGAGGTCATGAAAACCATGCACAAAACCGCTTTGCTGCTGCCCGTTTGAAGAGATAAAAACACATTCTTTCCAAGTCAATATTCAAAAGTAAGGTTCAATTCTTACTAAATCCTGTATCGTACATATTCATCAACATATGTAATGGTTTACGTTTGCAGACAAAGCATCATAACAAGTGATTTGTTTTGATCGGATGAAATTTGCTACCAATACAGTAAAGCCAATTTGATTGGACAATATCTAGCTATGAATACGTAATTTTTCTCACTTGTGTTACCACGGCCCCGAGGAAGTATGACAAATGGGGTGTGGTTTGGACACAATGCAAAAAATGCAGTGCCTGTTGCCTGTGCTAGTAGACAGTGATGACTGATGAGTGATGTGAATATGTCATATTATCTGGATGAAGATATTCATCTGCTTCCAAAAGAGGGTACACATGCAAACATAGCCCTAAAAATGCTAGCCATAGACATCACAATAGACATAGTCACGAAAGTAAACAGATATACACCTCAATAGGCCTCAAATTTCTTCATCCATTTTGTTATGCTGTGTTAACTAACGTTAGTGTTAGCATAGGCTATATGGTGATTATTTATGAGAGGCCAGATATTCTTTCAAATTCAATGATTTGCTCACTTTCTTTCACAACGCAAGTCAGCGTTTGTCTTTACCTTTAGTGGTTCATGCACGTAGACTGAAAGTATTCTTCTTAAGAAAGCTGATATTGTCAAATTGAAGTCGCATTAACGAACATTCTTGTCCATCAGCTTAAAGGCAGCCATTTTGATTTGTGTTGGCTACATTCTTACAAGGAATTTGATTGGGTTCTAAATATAGACGACAAATCAGAATCCTTAAAACAGAAGTGCAGTGTCATGCTCACTCAACTCTGGAAAGGTCAGCAGTTTTATTGATAAAATACCATACAAAACAAAATATTCATAAAACTTTGGCTTGTAAACAGTATTTCATTCAGATTGTCTCTAACTGTAGGCCTAGCCTACATCATTAAAATTGTCAGGTTTCAGGAGTAGTAATCCTTGAGGAAATGACGAATTAAGTTTTTACTTAGTTTAAGTTTTATTAGTAGACAAATCGAAAGTAGTGTTACATAGGCTACTTTATTAAAGGGACATTTTCACCTTTTTCTTAGGGTTGATTCGTAATTTGAATAAATATTTTTTATAAATAGTCTTCACAAGTACTAGAAATGAATATAATTAACATAATTTCTTTAAAATATCTGTAGAAACTAGGAATTCTCTTTCTATTTCCTTACTTACGTGTACATGCCTTAAATTCACATAGCACATTGGCAGTCTCAAGAAAAGACATCCCATCATTTTTTGTTTTGTATGTAGATAATTCTGAATATATATGGATTTTGTTTGTGAGCTGTGAACACTACTACTGATTAACTTAAAATTCCTGTTTCTAAGTCTATGGAACGATTGGCCAAATGGATGGTAAACTTGTACCTTTAAATGAAACGAAACTTTATTTGATTTATTTTCAAGCTGATTAATTCACAACAAACAACAAGTAAAACTTAAGCTTTTTAGTTACCTGACTAGCTAGTTTGAGACCCATTAAAATTCTGCTATAAATAACAAACTACACAACTTAAGTCTTTGGATGGATTTAAGAAGGTTAAAGAGGGTTTTCCTTTTTAATGTCAAATTAAGCAAACTATTTCATTAATTGGTGTTTCTAATGAATATCATGTATTTTTAATCATCTCAAACTTTTCTTAATGCATATAATTATGATAATTTAACCAATCATAAATGTCCATCTATTATAGTCTGGATAAACTAAAAAAGACTTTTTGAGCTTTCTTGATCGGTCGCTAATTGGAATTCTGAAGCTAATTCTTTTCTAGTTTAGCTTATTTTGAATTCATTATGGACTTGTGAGACAAACTGGTATTTTTCCAAGTCATTAGAACACTTCTGCTTTCTTTTCATATAAATAAATGAAAATAAGGGAACCCATCTTTAAATAGTCAAAGTGCATGCCTAAATCAGCATTTAAACAAACTGTTTATCAAATTTGGAAAATAGCTGGTTGAATAGAACATGTGGTAAATCAAACTCTTTCCATTTAGCAAGGATAACGAAGGTTAAAGGCTCTCCAGCTTTGTCTCAGGTTCAATTCCATGAAAGGAAGAAATATGTCTTTAAGGTTTTTTTACCCAGCACAGATGCAAGTCAAACTTATGCCTTATGTTACTTATCATTGTTCTATTGAAGAGCTTGCACCAGGAGAAAAAAAGGAATGAAACAGAATGGGGTAGACTGATGAAGAATTTCTGATATTGGTTACAATGCTAGATGATATTTTTTTGTTTCCTTCAACGTCAAAACGTAACAATGAAAAGGGTAAGTGACATCAGGATATGTTTCAAAACATAAACGCCAGCAGTTAACTTGATAAAACTGTTCAATCCAGACATTTACTATGTTTATTAGTAGATCGTAAATGATACGTTAAAATGAACTTGATTGTGATGAATGTATTGAATTCTCCTCAGTCTTGAAATTTCTTTATCAACTATTCCTGACAATCTGTTAAGAAAGATTGCAGTTTTAACTATCAGCTTGGAATGAATAAATTACAGTTAATACATATTCCAAAATCAACATTCATTCACTGAAATTATATTTTGTGTTTTTATAATTTTTGCAAATGAAAAATTAATCTTTCAGTTTGGAGTAAAGGTGACTTGTGTCGAGTTAAGTGGTCAGAAGATGGTGAAATCTATAATGGACAAATTAAACAATTAAAACGATGTGAGGGGTCTAATAAAACACTGGCTGTTATTAGTTTTGATGGATTTAGTAAAGAGGATGATACTGAGTTTGAGACTCAGGAATTATTAGAAAGAGAACAGTTGACTTCACCAGCTCAAAATAAGAAAGGTGAGAACAGCAAAAATTCGATCATTATCATTATTCCCTGTCACCAAATGCAACTCCTTACTACCTTCTTTTCTTTTTCTATCAGTTTTAAAGATGCATTGATTAAATGGTTCAAAATTTTGTTTATTACTTTAGGTCAATTGAGAAAAGAAAATAGTGGACTGTTTTCACCTTTATGTGGAGGAGAGGATGCAAACAGACTAGAGTAAGTATTGTTAGTGATCTCTTTGCATTGGCTTCAGATTTTCTGGAAGATTAACCCACATTTGCTTCAAATATATTTAATTAAATTTTGTAGATTTAATCTAATTTCTGTTGTTTAGGAATTTGTATGGTTTTTATGACGATAACAATGATGAAGAGACTGAAAGTACGAGATGCTCTGAGCAACAAGAGAAGACAACTCCTCAAACACGGAAGAAGGTGGCTGTTGTTAGTGGAGGCGAAGTCAGATCTAATACAAGGTTAGTATGTTACTGTTTCTAATGCTCAGACAATTAGTTACCGAATTTTTGAAATTAACATGAAAATGAATATACCTTTGGCTATTTGATAGCAAGTAAACTGCTGTAATGCCGATATCTTACCTTGCCTGCTTACTTGATTGTCCTCAATTCATATTGCATAGGACTGCATGGTATTAGACATAACAGCCCAAATAGATTTCATTTGCTTTGCAAGATATCCCTATATAAGGTTCTGTTAAATGAATTTCATGTAGAAAAGGTGTCAAGAGATCTACTATTGGAAGTACCCCAGGAAGAGAAACTGGAATGAAAAGTACAAAACCTAATGTTGCAAGATGTCAGTCTACTTTAGACATAGAACTAGAAGGCTCTCATTATAAAGGTAGGCTGGGATTGTTTTAAAGAGGGCCGTAGATTGAAAGTGGTTAAGTCTGAACTAATCAGCAGAGCTTTTCAACTGGCCTTTTCTTAACAACTTTTGCATTTGTAAAATTAGGCTTGCCGCAAATGATAAAATGAAATACTTTTATCAATTATCACAAAATGTATTGTTTTTGACAAAACTAAAAAATGTCATGTGAGCAATATGGCATTCCAAACAATTTTTTGATATTTTTTTATTAATATGTTTGTGGCAAAGAAGTATTACTGACTGAAATAGATCAGTTATCTTTCAGATTCTGTTTTAATATTTCTTTATCGCTGTACAAATGTATTGAGCGCTTTTAACAGTGGAAATATTTTGTTATTGTGTGTTTTTTCTTCATTTGTTATTATTCAATATTTGTTTTTTTCCTCAAATTTTTACTCTTCTTTACAGATGATGATATGGAGAAACCCAAATTTTCCTTTCCCTCTCCAGGAGCAAAAGTACCATTTATTTTATCACATAATGGAGATGAGCAGAACATTGTACAGGTATGTCTCACTTTTATACACCCACAAATAGTTTAGGTATATATTGTAATCACCCTGTCAATCCATCGGTCTGTCCCATCACATTTGGCTTGTGCTCACCCTACAGGCTACAATTCTTTACAGATTCTTTTGATTTTTATTTTGTGTGTCAATGTCATGAAGATGATCCCTATGGATTTTCTTGACGATCTGATAATTGTTTACTGAAATATCGTGTCTGAATCAGTGTTTTCACTCTATTAGCTATATTGTGCAACTCGTGCTCACTCTACAGGCTACAATTCTTTACAGATTCTTTTGATTTTTATTTTGTGTGTCAATGTCATGAAGATGATCCCTATGGATTTTCTTGACGATCTGATAATTGTTTACTGAAATATCGTGTCTGAATCAGTGTTTTCACTCTATTAGCTATATTGTGCAACTCGTGCTCACTCTACAGGCTACAATTCTTTACAGATTCTTTTGATATTTATATTGTGTGTCAATGTCATGAAGATGATCCCCATCAATTTTCGTGATGATCTGATAATTTTTCACTGAAATGTTGTCTCCATCTTAGAGAATTCACTCTATTAGCTATATTGTGCAACTTGTGCACACTCTACAGGCTACGCTTTTTTATTCTGATGATTTTTGTATGCCCACATGTAGTTTGGAAACATATTGTCATACATCCGTCCGTTCATACTAGGTTCGTGCTCGCTCACAGTTTGTGAGTCACAGACTGCTTGATGAATTCTTTTAATTTCAATTTGTGTGTCAATATCATTATTAAGAATGTTATTAAACAAATTCATTCTATTAGCTATATAGTACAACTTGTGAACACTCTACAAGCAACAATACTTTATGGATTCTTTTGATTTATATACGCCCATATGTAGTATGGACTTAAATTGTCTTGATTTAATGTTTTGCAGTGTATTCAATATTCACAATTCTTTATCTTTGAGATACATATGAAATCTAAGACTATAATAATGAAGGAAAAAATATTACAGAATAGGAATACAGAATGATTCTGAGAAGTAAACTGCTAATGACATTGGTCATGACATTTTAGCGATACTTTTTTTTTTACTGATTACTGATGTACAGTCTACATCATTCCTTTTTATTATTATAATTCTCTTATTCTGTCAATATAACTCATGATCCATTCTCATGAGAAAGTTTCAGCATTTTTCTTACCTAGTGGAAATGTATATAACAAATTGTATGAAATAAACACAACAGAGTTATTTTGTTCAGTTGGGTAATATGAATCTCCTTTGATCAAATCCGATGAAAATGGTTAGTAATACCTTAATGTTAAAAATTGTTTGTTGCAGGATATACATATACAGATATTTGTTTACACAATCGAGACATGCGATAAAATCTGACCATGATGCGATACCATAAAGTTGCTTAATTTGTCTATAGACTAAACATGAACCATTGTGAATGGACTACAAGCAATGATTTGTACTCCAAACTGCTGGTTGGCGTATGTCACATTGCTTTCTTTTCAATACATCCTTATTTTAGTGTCAACATAGCTAATGGCATTATTTCCATTACTGGCATTTCTATTCTCTTGTTATTGTTGCTTCCAAATATATGCATGTAGTGCACAGTACAAATGATCTTTTAAACCTAAGTTGTTACCCTTGTAAAATACAAATATTTTTGATTTTTAAGGTACCAGCGAGTATAAATCAGTATCTAAGAGACTATCAAAGAGATGGCATCAGGTTTCTCTACAATCACTATCAGTTAAAACAGGGTGCTATACTTGGTGATGATATGGGATTAGGAAAAACTGTTCAGGTATATCTTATTGTAACAGTAAGCTTGTTTACATTAATCTTGTATTTAATAGAAGGACATGTATTTATAAGTCAATAATTAATATACATTGCTAAAGCTTTAATGACAATATGTTGATCTCTGTGTTCATCTGCCCAATTAAACATTAAGATATTACTGCAAGTTTCACATTGTATTTATACTAATGATATTTTCAGGTGATTGGTTTCCTAGCAGCCATCTTGAATAAAAAAGGAAATAACGATGATATTATGAAACAAAAATTATCATTTATTAAGAAGGTGTGTGTACTAAACTATTATTACATTTACAAATTTTTCGTATGTGTCATATCTTGCAATAGTAAAATTTCAATGAAACAAGATGTAATTGTTTGTTTATTACGTAAACTTATTTTCATTTCTCTATAAAGTTGATCCTCGTGTTTCGAATGATATGAAGATATTATATCTTACAGATGTCTGACACAAACTACAACGAACCAGAAAGATCAACTAGCCCCTTTCTAATCATTGGTCCTGGAAGTGTAATATATAATTGGTTAGATGAATTGGATACATGGGGCTATTTTACTACCAGGTTAGTTGTTGTTTGTTTTTTATACCCATGAATGTGTCATTACAATTTAATCACCTCAGAGATCTCATAGAGATTGATTAATATAATAAATAGATTAAATCCTTACCTAATATTAAATTGATGGATTTTTGAAGGAACTCACTTAAAGGGATTGTAAAGAGGTTTTCTTAATTTTTATTTAATTAAAACGTGGGATATGTTTAGAAGAATATGTCTATTTCAGTAAATACCATGGTACTGATAAAGAATACTCTTTAACAGAAGTGAAAAAAGGAAAGCTAGAAATAGTTATTACTTCATTTGAGACATTTAGAGACAATTTAGTAAGTATAAGAAACCACGATACACAAGAAATTATGTATATTATGTCACAATTATAATGTGGACGTATATTGTCGTCACCCATGTCCGTCGGTCGGTCTGTCCACAATTAGCTTGTGAACTTGATAGAGACTACAGTTTTCATCTGATTCGAATGAAATTTGGGGTGATCATTTATATTCATGAGATCTTGGACAAGTTCGAAATTGACGATCTTTCGATGAATGGTTTTTGAGTTATAAAAAACGCGTCAAAATTTGGTTGTGAACACAATAGAGACTACAGTTTTTATCCAATTTCAATGAAATTTGGTGTGAATATTAATAATGATGAGATCTTGGACAAGTTCAAATTTGGCTATCTTTCAATGAACGGTTTTTGAGTTATTGCCCTTGACTAATGAAAAACGCGTCAAAATTTGTTTGTGAACTCAATAGAAACTACAGTTTTCATCCAATTTCAATGAAATTTGGTGTAAATATTTATAATGATGAGATCTTGGACAAGTTCGAATTTGGCTATCTTTCGATGAATGGGTTTGAGTTATTGCCCTTGATTTATGAAAAACGTGTCAAAATTTGTTTGTGAACACAATAGAGACTACATTCATTCGATTTAAATGAAATTTGGTATGATCATTTATAATGATGAGGTGACTGCCCTTGATATACTGAAAATGTATCAGGAAAGTGGGCGTATCTTGCTAGGCAACCACTTGTCATATTTGGAATGACATAATGTTAAATAAACGGTTGAAAGTAGAATTTTGCATTCTGCTTTTCTTGACACACGTAAATACAAACTATTATACAGAGTGTAAATTTTGAAATGACAGCCTTGTATTCAGAAAAATATTTGTCGTTTTTTGTGTATTTTTCTACTGAACAAGTTTTGCAATAGGTATAAAGGCAAAACTAAAAGTCTCTTTTGAAAATGATACATATTCTTACAATTGAACTTAAAGCATTTAAAATCCTTCTCTAAGATGACAACTATCAGTATTTATTTGTTATTTAGAATGATATATGTAGTGTTGATTGGCAAGCAGTAATAGTAGATGAGGTACACAGAATCAAGGATGTGAAGTCTCTAACAACTCAAGCCCTACGTAAAATACCAACTCAACTACGATATGGTTTGACTGGTACTGCCTTACAAAATAACATGGTGGAACTCTGGTCCATTTTAGACTGGTATGTAGGCTACATGTTCCAGTCATCGTAGAAAGATCCCATTCTGTATCTCTTCACTCATCAGTCTGTTGATATATAGAGATTATAGTCAAAACGGATCTATGGCAAAGCTATTCAATAATTCTAGTCAAAATGGACCCAGTCTGTGATCAAACTAGAATAGAGTTTCTTCCCTTTAATAGTGTAGGAAAACTTGCTTTCACACAATTAATATTGTTTGAGTGCTAGATCGTGTCTGTTTATGAGCTTTATCAAAGTCACACATCAAGGTATCAGAAATATAACTATGTATATTTAGGGCTCAACCAGGAATTTTAGGATCTGTGTATGAATTTACAGAAGAGTTTGTGCGACCAATAGAAAAAGGACAGAGAAATGATGTCACAAAACGTGAATTAGCAGAAGCCAGAAAGAGTAGGTTATATGTTGTTTTTATACATTGCTATGTTTGATTATCAAGGTTAACGTGTTAAAAAGTTTTAGAGTAAATAGACCAGCATTACAGCTAACTGTAACACAGAGCAGAATTACAATATCAATAGCCATACCTGTCAGTTAATGTTCATAATGGACTGGAATTGACTAGTCTAAAAGCTATTCTCATTTGTTGAAAATCAGGGTATCAGATTATGATTGTGAAAAGTGTTACAAGAACATATTGCTGAAATTCAGTTTTTAAAGCAAATGTTTCATATAATGAATCTTTTACCAAGGTTTTAGGTTAGAGTAGTCTATAAATAATCACAATGGATAATGGATGTTGATAGCCTTCATTGGAGCCTGAACCAGTTCAGAATTCTTTTATGTTCTAGATCATCCAGTCTGATAGAGACAGACACCACTTGTCTTGATTAAATTACAACATGTTTAAAATTAACTATATATTCAATTAAGTTGAACTCTCCCCACTCCCCACTGATGTCTTGGAATGAAATCACCAGTTAACCGGACGTTATTTGCATCATAAGTTCAAATTTCTTTTAGTTTCCTATTAAGTCAAGATAAATTGTTACAAAATTTTTTACTATTTCGACAATGGTTTAATTGAAAAACTGTGAGGACAGTTTAAGGAAGGTATTTTAAACCCAGCATAGGTACATTAGGTCTGATTGAGTGCAATTGAGTTATTTAGCCCTCAATCATGGATGATTTCTGTTCAGAGTTCATGTATATTGAAATTAAGTTTTAAAGATTAAGACACAGATGACACTCACAGGTTGGGGGTGAGCTGAATTCAGTATAGGGTACAGACCTCTCTACACCTTTATTGTATGGTAATTGTGGTTGCAGACATCCCAGGGCACACTTCATCTTGTTGCTACAAAATAATAGGAAAAGTTTTCAAGAAGAAACAGATTTCAGGTTCAGGTAATTTATTTCATTATTATTTGTAAGTGCTTTCCTGTGAATTTGTTCTCCCCCCACCTTTCATTCCTTTCTTATGACTTACTTTCTTATCAGCTTTCTTGTATTTTGTCTTCCTCTTTTTCTGAATGGGTTCCCCCATTTTTTTTTTTATACATTTCCTCTTATGAATTGGCCCCCCCCACCTATCTTTAAAACCCCATTACAACTATTCTGAAATGATATTCCACTATCATTTATCCATTGATTTGTTAAGCAACTATTGAATATAGTCTAATTCAACTATGTTTTATCTACAGATATTTAACAGTGGTATTGATGATTAGACTACAATGGAAGAATTTTATTATGCATTACCATCCAATGTAGCAAATTGGATTTTACAATTTTAATTTGTCAGGTTTATGAACCATGTGACATCATGAAAGGTCACTTACTTGGCATGATTTTATAACCGAAATAACTAAATTTTAAAAGATTGATACTCTGTAGTTTGAATTTCTGGTTTAACAAACAATTTTACTAGAAAAATGTTTGTAACATCAGTTTAACAAATAAAACAATATGTTGAAGACTTTTATTAGAATGATTACATTTGAAAGTGTATTCTTTCCAAATAGAGTTTCCATGGTCTGTCAAATCTAGGAATTGAATATTGTTTTCTAACCTTCTCCATTTACTAATACCTTAATATAACCTTTTCATGATATTTATTATTGATAAAGAATTTGAATATTGTTACTATTCTGAAATGATATTTGAATTGAATGATTTAAGATGCCTTTACATGAAAAATGCCTTGAAAAATGTTTCTTATCAATTTCATTAAAAATTCGGTTTCTTTTCTGGATTTCTGAATTTTTTGATACAGATTCCTTGTGTCTTTTATCTTTCTGTGTTGCAAAAACCAATTTATTGATTTTAATTCTTGTATTTAAAATGATACTACGTCTTAGAATGAACATAAAATTTATGTTCTCGAAATGGTCAATATAAGTATATATTCATCAGTGAACTTACCTGGTGTCATAAAGTTGCAACAGAATCCCTATAAAATCTGGAAAATTGGAAAATTCACAAAACTAAGTAATTATTGAAAAACGCTTACATAAGGATCTTGTTATGTTATTTATGACACCAGGTACTGATAAATATATGCTCTTATTGGCCATGTTATGTGCTCCTCGTTTCTATATGTCGTTCAAATCTTATATCTTCTTGACCAAGTTAAAAATTCTTAAATTTTATGTTCATTCTAAGACATAGTATCACATTAAGGTATTATGTCATCAAAATTCATTTCTAATTTTGTATAATTGTAGATAAGAGGGTCTGGACGAACTGTGAAAATGTTGAAAAATATAGATGTAGACGAAAAAACACCTGAATATGACCTCCTTGTGGCATTTTGAGAATTTGGGAAACTGAAGAGATGTGTATCTAATGATTTGAAGAGTGTATATTTTAGAATTAAAAAGATATGAATTGTGTTGTTTTTTATTGAATTATTATCTTATTGATTATAAGATGATTTGATTTGTTTGCTGTCTATATAGTAAATTCAAGTCTCTCTCTATGCCAATTCAAAGTATGACATGGATACTAGCATTTGGCTTGCCAATTTTGAAACTTGTCATCTAGATGAATAGGTAGACTCCAATCCTGATCATAGCAAGAGAATGGTCTATATAATGATCAGTGCAGAATTTTATCTTGTGCTGAATTCTTACTTCATTTGCCCCTGTGGCAATCGGTCAATATAAGTCATCATATACAATCTTTAGACCCTGTGACAGTCAATCAGGCCATCTTTCAATCAGTTACCACAAGTCCAAAATCAGTTAATAAACATCAACAGGCAGTCTCCATTAATTAACAGGCCCTGTGATGGTGCTTGAGATGGATTATCAGACTCTATGACAATTAGTTAACATCATCAGATAATAATTACTGTATGTCACTTGGCACTCAGATACTTTAAGTCTAACTTTAATACTTGGATTTAGTGAATATAAGTCATCATGACCTTTCGTCTTACACAGCCCATCCTACAAAGAGTCCTGATGATTCAATAGGAATTTGGATGGTCAACAAGGTTCTAATAACATTCAATAACTAAAAGTTGAAAAGCACTGACAATCACTTATCACATATCATCAGGATAAGGCATGTCAAATTCAAAGACCATAAAGCATCATGCCCCAATGACATTAAGATATTAGGAAATTTTAAAATCCACAACATTAAGTTTCATATGACAATGGGTTCTCTTAAATCAATGGGCAATTACTTAAGGTCTTTACCATTCAGTGACTGTAAGTCATTAGTCCATAATACTCTTTTTATGTTCTATTCAAATGTGGAATGACAGTGCACTTTGTCTTTGTCAAACCACCTGACGTGCATCATTGGCAGAGTGTCTTGACACACGTCTGACAGCAAGTTTCAGACTAAGTCCCTTTCAAAGTATGTTTGTATTATTATTAGTCAAGTTAATATTTGTTATAATTGTAGAAAAAGAGAAGTTTCGTGAAATACGAAAGAAGATAATGTTAAGAAGAATGAAAGCATTGATAGCTGATCAACTTCCTGAAAAAGGTAATACATGTGGCTTTCTTATTTAGTCCAAAAAGCAATGATTACTGAATGTTTGGAATTATCAGATATAAGGTGCCAAATTCAATGAAATATTAGAAATTTTGGATCTGAATCAGTTGAAAATTGTTGGTTATTTGAGGAAATAAAAATGCTGGCTCCATATGATCTAGTAGATGGCTATCTAATTTGATACCCATTGAAAACCGACTTTAAAGTTTGAAAGAGATTTTGCCATTACATATATTATTTTTGACTGTGATCTTGATTGTAGATGATAATGTAGTATTTTGTAAGTTGAGCCACCTACAGACCAGTGTGTATAAAGCTATATTAAACCATCCTGATTTATTATTGGTATTAAAAATGGAGGATCCATGTAGCTGTGGTAGTGATAAATCTAGAGCAAAATGCTGCTTTAAGGTACTGAATTTTATGTTTTGACAACTACTTCATACTGTAACACTAAATGATTTTTCCATCATCTGATCCTAGCTGAAGTAATTTGATGTCTTCCAAAGTGCTATAAAGTCTTTGATATTGAGACAGTAATTTTTTGCCTCCATACATCCATACATCTTTCTATGTGGTTTTAAAATAGTTGAGTTGACCATGTCAGTCTAACAACAGTCACAGTTGTATGTTTAAATATTGTATTTTTCAACTGATATTGAAGAAATGGTCATTTATGCTTTTCGTTTATGAAATTTGTATCAATTGTTTCAGATTAATAGAGATGGCATTAATATTCAAAGTATAAGATTTTCATTTATGCATTTATTAATGAAAGTAGCAAATCATGTAGCTTTACTGATTCCAAGGGAGGGCACGAGTTATCTACAGAAAACACGTTCTAATGAAATTTGTGAAATAGCTCTCAAAGATCATCAGGAGTTCATCAATTTAACAAAAGATGCTACTTTCAGAACATTATCAGATCCTAGATACTGTGGAAAAATGAAGGTTTGTGAATTTGTATGTTTTTTTTGTACAGAGGCATCACGATTGCCTATGAAATAAAATAGTAGTTTTCTCCTACGTTTCTGTTTCATTATGGAACTAATGTAGACAACAAAGTCCATACAGCATGCAATCAATGAAAGTTTGCTGGGTAGCTGCATTCAAGATGATTTTCTTGTAATTGGGGCATCTTATATGCACACACCTTGTAGCTGGTAAATTTTTTGATGTCATTGGAACAGCACTATTAATTTAAGTTTGGAACTTATTTCAGGTTTTACAAGGTTTATTACAAGTATTTGAGAAAACACACAGTAAAGTTTTGATATTCTCACTTTCTACAAAGGTATGTCAAGGGACTGTTAAAGAAGAGGACAATTTTGGTTTGTGTGTGTGTGTGTGAGATTGACCACAGATTTATAAGTTTACAAGTTGTTTCTCTTGAGATTTCCAGACATCATTTCTCTATGAAAAAAAATTGTACCATTTCCTCCATTGTCCTATTTAAAATGACTTGTAATGAATATATGAAAGTGAGAGAAGCTTTATCTAACAAGTATCTCTAGCTGAAAAGGACAGATTCCCCTTATTTGGGAGTTGATTTGAGTCTTGAATATATGTAAATAGTCTTCTGAAGTATGAGAAATGTACGGAAATTGCATAATTCCCTCAAATATACCTCAAACTGAGAATTTCTCTTTCTATTTCTATATATGTCTTCCCTATATATGGCAGAGTCAAGAAAAGACAAGCTATCTGTTTAATTTTCTAATGCAGATTGTCCTGGACACACATGGCCCAAATTTCGATGTAGAACTGTGAACACTTAGTGATGAGCTTAGCTAAAAATAAATCCTGTTTCTTAGACTAAGGTACGATTGGTCAAACACATGGCGAACCTGACCCTTTAAATTTAGTAAGATCCCTTTAAGAATGAATTATATAAATTAGAAGCATCTGATCTATTTATTTTCTAGTTATTAGATATATTAGAACAGTATTTGATAAGTTCAAGTTATGAGTTTCGCAGATTAGATGGTTCTGTCAGTAATAAAAAACGAATGGAACTTGTTAGAGAATTCAATAAAAATCCCAATATATTTATATTCTTGATTTCTACAAAGTGAGTTTCAATCTGTATTTATCATCCTGCAGCAACCCATTATGTCATAGATCAGTGTAAAACTTTTACCAATCTGTCATGGATTTCTATTGTCTATTTTGTACTGATGTTTCTAAATCAACGCACATAAATGTTAGATGAAAGATCCTGATTTGTTCTATGAAACATATATCATGCTTTTTTATGCTTGGACTGGAAGCAGATTTGGTGATAGACATTTTTAGACAATAGACAATAGGGATTAAAACATATTTTGTTTAAGATTTATTTTTGAGTTTCATAAGTTTCCTATGATTTTCAGAGCAGGAGGGTTAGGTTTAAATCTAACTGGAGCTAATAGAGTAGTCATATTTGATCCAAACTGGAATCCAAGTCATGATCTACAAGCCCAGGATAGAGCTTATCGTATAGGACAGAGACAGGATGTTCAAGTCTACAGACTTATATCAGCCGGTACTATCGAGGAAAATGTTTATTTACGACAAATTTATAAACAGGTATAAAAAGGATTGTTTTATTTGTACATACTTATATTACAAGTTAAGCAATATAATGCAATTCTATGTTTCATAATTCTGTATCAAATTAAAACATTGCAAACTTACCAAAAGACCAGTGAAAGTGAAATTGAAATATATTTTCTGAATACAGTGGTAATAATTGACATGCCCTTGGAAGAATTGATACATTGGTATATGAAATAATTTGTGGAATGTTCAAAACCTCATATGTTAAATTGAAATAATTTAATCATCTACTGATTTGCAGAAGGTTCTTCAGTGAATATGAATGACAAATAATAACAGGTTTTTCTTTTTTATTTGCTTAATAATATTTCCGAGCAAGGAATTATTTAAAAATTGTTGTTTCTTTCAGCAACTTGGAAATGTAGTTGTGAGTTCTGAGAATGCTAAAAGATTATTTCATGGTGTTCAGGGCAATAGATTTAGACAAGGAGAATTGTTTGGGGTACAAAATATGTTTCAATTAAGAACAGGAGAGTCTTGTTTGACAATGGATATACTAGAGGTAAGAAAGTTTTGTACATCTTTCATTGTATTCCTTACCACTGGCAAGTAGAAAGTTTCCTTCTTAGTGTTTACAGCAGACAACTGCCCAACATTGTTACATCACATTCTTGGAAACTTGTATTGATGCAGGTAAACCTGAGCTTCCCACTTAGTTTTAGTGGTTTCAAAGGCTATTTCCCACTTAGAAACTCATTAAATGAATTTTTCATGATTTCTGTGACACATTGAATTAAGTACTTTCCTCTGCTTAATTTTATCCAAGGACCTAAAAGAAATTGTAAAGACATTTTATGAACTTTTGATGTGTATGTTGGAAAGTGTTGATTTGCACTTTCCCAATTTTTCAGTCAGTGTTTGTGGTTCTGCAATTCCACTAAAGGTTTGATGACGTCACTATCGAAATATCTGCTTGTATTGTATTAGACACTTTGGGATAGTGACATCATATTTTAATGGAATTGCTAGGAACACAGACGTCTGATTGAAAATTGGAATGCTAACAGTGTGCTCACTAAAAATAAAAAGTTTAAAAAATCTCTTTACAATCCCTTCCAGTTACCTTTGTGAAATTTTTTATTTTCATTCTTATATTTTGTAGAGAAATGCTCAAGTTGAAGCAGGATTAAAAGGTTTTGATATGACAAAGTATATTCCATCAATGTATGAAACTGATAATTCAACACCAGATATAGACAATATTAATAATAAAACAGTTGATAGTTCTACTGATTCTGATAGTTTAATTGACCTATTTCTCTCTGGTAATTATATGTGTATATGTTTTCAGTAGTAAATGATCATGTTTGGTATTATAAAGGTATTTAAAAGATGTTTTTCTTTCTCTGTGTAACTCCAGGAATCAAGTAATCAAATTGAAGTAATGCATAATTTGAGTTCTGTACAAGAATACTAAAAACTCAACAAGGAGAAAAGCAATAGTTCAAAACATGGCAGCTGCCATTTCAAATGTAATTAAAAGTGACTAATAGCTCGGATAGGAAGATAAATTTGCTCCCTTAAATCTCCTGTATGAACCATTCTTTCATGTTGCAATGAAAAAATTGATTGATGAAGAAGTATCTTATCATTTTTTTTAGGCATTGAAGACAAGGAAGAATCTCATGAACAGAAATTGAATAGAAAGGCTTCTGTGAACAAATCTAAATCCTCAGCTGATCGAAGTAAATATGATAGGAATAAGCCAGGACCTAGTAAACCCTATGAGAAACAAAGAAAAACCCAGCCTAGGAGTAAATTAAGAAAAAGATCAAGTAATATTGATGAACCTGTAACAGAATCCTTTAGTTCTGTTGGTGATGTTTTGGGTAAGTTTGTACATTGTAATGAATAGAATGACATAGAAATCAGAGTTAGCTGTTCAAGCCTTTCCAAAGTCTTTGATGACAACTTTTCTCTTGTCACAAGCAACCCTGTTTATGGGAAATACAGAAACTTGTCCGGTGAGATTTTCACTGAGTTGCATTTAGCAATAACTCTTTTTAAAAGGATTTTGTCTTACATTTCTTGGTTTTGTTTCCAGGTCAGTGTAGTGTTCTGCATGTTCATAAAAATGTAAAGGTTATTGGTGCCAGTCGTGCTGAAGATCACATGACCAGATGTGCATTGCAGGAAGTTTATGAACTTCATCAGAATTCACAAATCCCTGCCATACAATGTGATCCACTTTCTGAGGTAAGACATGAAGTATCTTTATCTTGTCATTAAAGACTTGTTGTTCTTGTCAATTAGGTGGCACAATTTATACGTAAAATTTTTCATCAATTAGCAAACATATTCTCTGTTAGATAAGGCTTTGTTACCATTGGTGATTAGTTCCGTGATACATGACTTATTATTGTCTTTAATGTTCTACAGTCCTCCAGTGATGAAGAAATATTACCCTCAAAGAAAAAAGGTGGTAGAAAGCCTGGTGAGACTAAAGTCCATAATACACCTAAAATAATCAAACATGAATCAACTCGTATATTAATAGGCCAAACACCTTCAGCAATTAGACAGTAAGTTACCGGTTTCCAATTGTAGACAAAAATATACAAGTCTGGAGGTTGAGGGATTACAAAATGTTTATTTGAAAAGATAAACACATTTTGTTACATAAAAGGGAGCTATTTGATCAAACATTTATCAGCATATTGTCAGATTAGGAATTATTGTATTGGAAGAAGGAGGACAAGTTACTGACTATTGCCAGAAGATCTTCCAGTAAGTAGAAGACCGATCTCAAACTATTTTTTTTTTCTGTGGTTATATCTCTTTTTATACACCCACACGCACGTCAGTCCGTCCGTCCACAATTGGCTTGTGAACATGATAGAGACTACAGTTCTTATCTGATTTTAATGAAATTTGGTGTGATCATTTATATTGATAAGATCTTGGTCTTTTGACTTAGCAAAAAAGCGTCAAAATTTTGACTACTATAGATACTTGATACACTTAAAATTTACCAGGAAAGTGGGTGTATCTTGTTCTATTGTTTCAGTAAAGAATTTGAAAAGTTGGCAGAATTTAAAGAGAAGGAATTAATCAAACTGGCAGAGGAAATAGTAGAGATGAATTCTGAGGACAGATTAGAATTACTGAAAGCTTTCTATATCAAGTTACATCCTCAACTAGCAAACATCATAAACAGTTCTCTTGCTATTATACCTATTGATACACAGCTTACTGTATCTGCTAAAAAAGGTATTCTTTTCAGACATGAATTTGGTCAAATTTTTTAAATTAATTTTCCCCCAAATTATGCTTTTGAGTTAGAGTTGTCACTGATAATAGAACAGTATTTATCTTAGAGAATATATAGGTAACATACTTTTTGTCATAGGGGAAGGATTAAAATGTTTGTTTAAGGTATACTACCTCTTGGCATGACAACAAATTAGAATTTTTGAACTTGGTTAAATAAGTCAATTCATCAGCGGACCTACCTTGCGTCACAACTATATAACAGATTCTGTCTTATAATTTTGAAACATGTTTAGAAGCGTATTTCAATAATTATTTAATTGATAAATCATGTTATATAGAGATTTTATTCTTAAGTCATGGCACCTGATGAATATATGTATTTGTTGACCAAGTTAAAGACTTACTATGTCTATTCTAAGGTTATCATTTTAAAGAACACACAGAGTAACTGAATGTCAGCTATCAATTCTGAAAAGTGATAAGGGTAATTCTAATTGCTTCTAAATAAATTCTTATTTCAATTTCAGAGAAACTCATCAAAACACCAATTAGTAAAACTACAAGGAGAAAAGAAGCTAAAGGAGTCTCATTTTTAAATCAAAGTTTTTCAGATTCTGAGAGTCCTTCTAGTATAAATCTCAGAAAAAGACAGAACTCTACAGAATCTACAGAAAGTAGTTTGGAAGTAGGTCGAAAACCATCTCCATTAGCCAAAAGACGTGAGCTTCAAGGAAAGCTTATGAACCTAAGATGTAATAATCGTTCAAGAAAAACCATAGATGCGTTATGTACAAGATCTTTATATCTCCGATCAGAAAGTATCAAAGGATCAACTGCAACCGAAGAATCAATCAATATGATTGGACCAACTGAAGAATCAACCAATATGATTGGACCAACTAAAGAATCAACCAATATGATTGGATCAACTGAAGAATCAACCAATATGATTGGACCAACTGAAGAATCAACCAATATGATTGGACCAATTGAAGAATCAACTAATATGATTGGACCAACTGAAGAATCAACCAATATGATTGGACCAACTGAAGAATCAACCAATATGATTGGACCAACTGAAATATCTTCTTGTATAATTCGTCCAAGATGGCTAGGTGATGAAGGTATCATGTATGATAATATGGTTGTCATTCCAAAAGGGAACTTTTCCAAGATGTCACATAAAATATCTGTGAATCTCAATTGTGAAGTCTCATCTCGATCCAATATTGGTGAAAATACACAAAATCTATTAAATGAAATGATAGAAAATGTTGAAGCTGTGAGGGAAGCTAAGTATGAAAGTGTGAAATCGGTTCAAATGACAAATGTCTCAAATCAAAGTGCTGAAAAAATATCAGGTGCTGTGGATAAAAGTATATGCATGAAAATAGTTAAAAATGGAAATATCCAGTCTAAAAGTGACGAATCAAACTATAAATCCATTCTGGATGATTTCTTTACAGAGGATCAAGTTAGTTCAAAAATATCTAACAAGAAATCTCCAGTTAAAAGTACAACTTCAGCAAAATTAATACGAAAGAAACGATCAACTGATGATCTGTTTGTTGACTGGGATGACTTGACCTCATGTTCAGAATCAACAGCTTCTTCTCAAATAGACAATAAATCAGATCTTTTGGATCATTCTACTCTTCAAGATGAGGAGGTGGACTGTTTCAGTGATTCCAAAAAATGGAAGAAAAGATCAAGAGTTAAGCTCAGTGTTTCTAAAACTGTGGATAAATTATTACAACAATCAGATGATGATTATGAACAATTATTTCGTAGGGGAAAAATGAAAAAGAAAAAAAGTTCAGTGCAATCTTCACCATTGTTTGATCATGAAGATATTAGCGAAAACTTTTCAGCTAGTTTATTTTCATGATTTTTCTATATTTCTATATGTCTTTCCTATATATGAAAGAGCCTCAAGAAAAGACGAGCCATCTGTTTAATTTTTGTAACGCAGATTGTTCTTGACACACATTGATTTCAAGACAGTGAGCTATGAACACTATTATTGGTTAGTTTAGCTAAAAAATTCCTTTTGAGACTATGGTACTATTGGTCAAATGGATGGCAAACCTGTCACTAATTTTATGATGGTTTTATTTCAAGTTATCTTACTAGTCAGACAGTGAAACAGACTGGTTTTAAATTTATTTTTGTTTACTAATTAAATTGTTAAATTTATTTGATGTTTGAATTTAATGCGTTAAAGATGCTGTTTTCTACTGTTTTATATTTCTTCATGTACTGTTTTTAATAGAAATGTTTGAACTTTTATTGATTTATAGAGAAGATTTCCTTTTAAAGTTCATGTTAAAGGTGTAGAGATTTTCTAAAAATTATGTGTATCGGGGACAGCATAGCATCTTTTTGAACCATTTCAATTTTCAATCAGACGTCTGTGGTTCTTGCAATTCCAATAAATGTTTGATGATATCACTAATTGCAAATTTCAAAATATGCTTTAAAACATGAGGCCCTTTGGTGACATCATCAAACGCTTAGTTTAAGTGGAATCGAAAATGTCTGATCAAAAATTGGAATGGTTCAAATTTGGTGTCAATACGCATATAAAATTAGAAAACGTCTTTACCATCCCTTTAATGAGGTCCAAGTTTAATTTCGAACAGTGATATAAAAAAAAGTTTATACATTATTAACAAAACATACAGACATTCTATTAGTATATAAAATAAATGTTTATCTCAGAATACTAATGACATTGACTAAGTACTAGTTTCTATATTTTTTAATATAGTACAAATAATATACCAATAATTAACCTAGATTTAACAAAGTAACTGGAATTTTTTGTATATATATAAAATGTGAACGTATATTGTAGTCAACTGCTCTACACTCGAGCACAGTTCTTTGGACAGACAGACAGGCTTTCATATTTTTGCTTGTAAAAATCGTAAAGGCTTGGGTCGTCACTTTCTTTCTTCTAAATTCATTCTCCAGTTGATCCAATCCTTGAGTAAGTTTAATATTATATTAATATTTCAAAATATATCAAATATCAACACATACTCTTATTTTAATTCTATCTATAGAGCTAAACAAAGATTTATTTTAACTCACTGCCAGTGGGATGTATAGATTTGTTTTGTAGTCATCTTTTTCATATTATTTTGTTTAAAAATATATATCAAAAATACTTTTCTTTCTTGAAATGTTTTTCTCATTTTACAAATAATCTCAAAATGAAAAAGTTACTTTATTTGACATTAGCCGTGTAGATTCGATCACTACAGAGTTCAGTCCTACCAGGATTCTCAGAAATATTTTAGTAGTCCTGCTTATACTACACTAAGTTAATAATAGAATTCAGATTTAGAGCTCAAAGGTCCACAAAGATTAATCTGATCAATCTATGATTAAATAAGCAATAGTGTAGTTAGTCTAATACTAATTAGATCAATACTAATCAGACTTCAATTTACAAGTCGCATCTTACCTACGATAACAAATTTAACTGAATGAGTCTTGTTATGTCAATAAGGTTACCGCTCAATATTTACAGACAACCGTTCAAAATGCAGTGGTTCAACTACCGTAGGGACGAGTTTAACCATGTTCACGGAGCTCCACCCGTCCAGGGCACCTACCCCCAGAAGAAAATGTAGGATGGCATACGTTAAAAAGAAATTTTCCGTGGGAGGGGCACCCACTTATCTAGATGATCCACTGTCAAAATGAACAGGTAACCACGCAATATCTATACCAAAAACGATTTATGAAAATTATGATAACTGACAACCGAAAAGAACTGAATTTCGGCTCTAAAAGATCTTTTAATATAGTTCATTGTTCAATATTGTAGACAGTTCTTATATTAATCAGAATGACACATTACATATATTCATTACAGGACTCATTTTATCATTTCGATGAATTAAGTTTTACAACAAAGCGACAGTTTCACACATTAAAATTAATTCATTTAATCTTTATTTAATAAAAAAAAAAAACATAACAATAAGGAATGAGAGACATGATGGTTTTTGGTATAAATGAATGTATTTGAATCAGAGACGTAATACAGACACCCTTTCTTAGCAAATTAAGAATTTGATTGATCACTTAAAAGGAGATATTCAAATGAATTTAAACCTTATCACGAAATACTATCTCTTAATATCTTTGTTTCCTTTGAGCATTTGGACTTCTTTCATCTTTTGGACTCATTTCAGGTCTGGGACTAGATTTGACCTCAGTTTGTCGTGGTGGTGATATTGCCTTCATTTCAATATTACTGACACATGTCTGGAATGAAACAATACTATTAGGTACATGTATATATCAATAATAATGTTATATTATGATACTTCCCTTTGATTTAATCATTACCGTCCTAGTCAATGCAACAACATCTGTAAATATAGATAACGGTCACAGCTATTATTTGGTTATTTTCATTCCACATGAATCCGGCGAAGACTCTGTTTGTGGTCTCACATATTCCAACATATTGATTGTAATTGCACTCCACAATTATGATAGTATTGACTTCCAAACGAACCAAGAAACCATTTTGTCACTCTGCAATTGGATTGCCAGTTCGACCACGTTGAACGAAACAAGGAAATATTTACCAGTAAATTGGTACTCATAAAATATGGTTTGTCACCTCCATTATTCATTTCACAGTCTTCACAGAAGCACATAAATATAGTATCCAGACAGATCTAAAATAAATTAAACCTTAAATAATAAATTACCCGGGAAACTACCTTTCAGGTGCTTAGATATCAAGTAAATGCGCACATAAATGACGCCATTTTATGAAATTAAGATACAGGAATGTTTCATAGAATATTATGCCAAGTTAAGTGAAGTGAATGCGTGAGGTGAAAAAACGACCCGAATCTGAGGATGTGGCGTTGGTATATTGGCGGTATGGAATGACATCGGAAATCCCAGATGATGGTTGTGGCAACGTGCATCAACCGACCAGCTATAGCAAAGCAATGAAAGTTCTGACCGGCTATCATTATTCACAGATTGCTATCACTGACAACCATAAAATAACCCACAGAAAGTTGATCTTGATCGTATGTACTTACTTCATATACCAACATAAAACAATGGGCAATTAGAAAAGCTATAGCTCCTCCAATGGTTAATGGTACCCATGTATAAGTTATGTCTTGATGGAACTGAAAAAAAGCAAATACAAGATTATAAATATGGCTTCTCATAAATTAAATCGGCCATTATGAAAACATTCTCCATTCTTCCAAATAAGTTAGGGATCCTGATACAATGTTTTTTTTCTTGTATCACAGTTGTCGGAAAATCCTTTAGTGGTATATATCCAGTAGACAGTTAACTTTAGAAAGAATCATCAAGGTTAACATTGTGTTATAATACATATCTTATCTATAATTACCTGTATTATCACACTACCGACCATCACAACAATAGCTACACATCCTATTTTATTCAGAAATAACAGGAAAGTTCCAACAGAATTAATAGCTAATACACGTAATGCATTATTTATTATAACAATTAAACCTTTCCTAGCTCCCTCACAAAAACTAGTTCCATGGATCGCTGAAATAAAAAAAAAAGATGTAAATAAGTAGTGCGTATAATAGCAGTCGGTAGCGACCACCATCAGCAAGGTAGGCCTATGTAGGGGAAAATAACTTTCAATTATCATCCAAACGTATGAACAAGGCGATCTCACTGAAGTATTCTGTAGCTTTATTGTTGCATAAAAGGATAGCACGATGTACCACCTAAAAGAATCAATCTATATAAATTTTACATTGAAACTGCAAAGTAATGTTACGCTCTGATACAAATTGTTTACGCTTTGGGGACGAATTATTTCCCGTTTTGATCAGGCCTTGTTACGCTTTAAATCACGCTTTGATGAGCTTTATTAAGCTTTGATGCGGTTATGACGCTTTAAATCACGCTCTGATACGATTATCAAGCTCTGTTATTCATTGTTAAGCTCTGTTACGCATTGGAAAATTTCGAAATGGCCGATTTCATGCCGCTTTTGATCAAGTGGTGACAGACCGTGAAAACTGGGGTCCCCGCTTTGTGAATAAAGCTCTGTTAAGCTTTCCTACGCTTTGAGTCAAGCTTTGCTGAACTTTGTTACGCTTTGTTAAGCTTTGATACGTTCTCGGCGCTTTAATCAATTCGTGACAGAGCGCCCAAAATTTTTAAACAGTTTAACATTTTTTGGCGCTCTTGCCGAATACCCAGCTTTGCTCAAAGCTTTCCAACGATCTATTACGACCCTGGCGCTTTAGTCGAGCTTTGTTACGCTTTGGTACCGCTTTGTACGCCGCTTTAAAGCGCCGTTGGTGTGAACTGAGCATTAGCATGAACACCATCTGAAAGCAGAAGTCAATTATAGCGAGTAACTATAAAACGGAGAATTGTGAGTTAGTTTCATTTTTAAGAAAGCCGTCTCAAGTGTTATATGACATTTTATTTTAATGATATTTTTACATAACATATAGTCGTTTCGGATAGCTTGTAACACTAACCAATTTGGATGTAGGCATTTCTATTGAGAAACCGTAGAAACTTTTCAAAACAAACCAAGCAACAATGTAACATTCTTAGTAGAAACTGGGCAAATTTGTTGGTCGCTCCTTTCAACCTTTAAAATAAATATTTTAAAATTGGATACATGCATCATCAATATATGCGTATTCACTCATGCATATCAAACTAACAAAAGACAATAAAGACAATAAAATCTAACGATGGATGTTTTCCATTAACGGTAATGGAAAATGCCTGTAACTTATTCTTTCTTCTTATTTTGACAATTGCATTTGCTGTTTTTTAGACAAACGTATTCAAAAAAGAACGTTATGAATAACCGCACCACAAAAAACATCTAATAAAATTGGCAAACACAGAAAACTGTCACATAGAAGAAAGGAGTAGTTTTTCTGTTGTGGTAGGTAACGCAATCCAAACATAAAATTATGTAGTTGAGCTTGTGTTGATGCGCCTGTAACTGTGAAAATTCCTCTCATTGCACACTTCATGTTGTTACCAATTATTGCTTCATGTGCTGATGGGAACTAGGTAGCGTTATGCAATGAGCAATGGAATTTGTCTTAACATTGGCATCTATCCTTTTTTTTTCTTTTTTCTTTCACAAGCTTTAATGTACCGAAAGACTATAGATGTTTTATCAGCCCTATGAAATTATAATGAAAGAATACATTTTCTTGTATTATCAGGTATTACAAGACCTCGTAAGTTCGAAATATCACCATCTAGAGCTCTTCATAAACACCAGACAAGTTATGTCTGTTATTCCCCAGCCTAAAGTCCATGTTATGTATTGATGTTTACCTTTGTTGTATCGTCATGAGAATCAATCTAGCAAAGCGTACCACGGCTATAAGAAAGGAGCCAAGTGCTACTGAACCCATATGGTATCTAATAAGATTACATGTTGCTCTTCCAATAGGCCAACCAAGCTTTGATTTTTTTCTACAAAAACAATGTTAAGATGTTTTAGATGTTTCTGTCAACATATTCGAAATTAACCTTTAGAGGTTTCTGTTAACAAATACAAAAGAATAATGGACACACATACTTAAGATCAAATACGACATGTTTTTGAATTTTTTGACTTTGTAAAAATACTTTTGACTTTGTGAAAATACTTTTGACTTTTGAAAAATTAGTTAGTAAATTCTTATGCATGATAATGTTTCATGGAATCGAAACCTGTGCCACGCTAGTTTGACACATTTGTTCGTACGTTCCCTACCACCGACATCAAAGGATAAATTAAACTTGTTTGAGACTGTGTGAATGCGCAGACGTTGGGGTTTAATAATCATTCAACCCCAAAGCAGGCGAGGTCAGCTAGACACTCCCAACCGATTTTAATATGTTTCAAAAAGTGAATGGTTCAAATTACCTGCAAGGGAACTGGGATACGCAGTCAAAGATTAATGGCCACTAGCCTCGGGATAATTACTGTGAACTATAGGTACCAAGACATGGGAAAAATGATTTCAGCATCATATCGAAGTTTGTTTTTATGGAGGACTATTTTTTTGGTCGAAATTTTCAGGAAAGAAGGGAAGACAGTTTGATATTTAAATAAACAAAGTATATGTAATGCTCGGTGATTTATCTAGCTAAAAATGCCATGGAATAACTTCTGTTCCATCATCATGTTGGCAGCTATATCACTTCCGGTGTGAATTTCTGATATTTGAAATATGCACAAACATAAAAAGTGAACGGTTTCAGTTCAATGACTGTTTTGGAATTACTTAAATACCTTGAAAAATACCAGACAGCTACTGCTCCTGCTATGACCAAATCTTGACAAGCTACGATAAAGGCTGATATCCATAATACACCAAACAGATGATACCAGCGTAAATACTGAAACAACGATAATATCATTAACCAAGTTGAAAGTTGAAAATTAATAACGTTATATTGTGTACTATGTTAATGGATTGATAAAGCTTTTTTTTAACTGGAGGACATGAAGAGATAGGCTTTCATCTTTTTATTACAAAGGACTACAGTGATGTGCTAATATTTGTTCCGTAAATTCTTTCATGTTCAATAATTGGAGGTTTGTTAGCAAACCTTTCGGCTGGTTTAAAACCGGATTTGTACATATCCTATTCTTAATTTTTTTCCTTCCCCCATAATATCATGATAATGTATCTGGATCTCATTATTGCCTTCGACAGTTATCAACCAAAATCCCTTTATGCATGCATGGTCAACACACATATAAAACTACGTATGGTTCTTAAATGGATATAAAACACACGAACGTAGTTCACAACCATTTTGAATCTCTTCCTCGACTTATTTTGATAAAGGCTTTAATATTTCAACTAAGCCTTCAAAACACAACCAAAGCCATTTCCAAACCTTTAAAATATTACAGCCTTTTTTAAAAATTCGACTTATTAAGTCAAAAAAGGGATTCAAAATGGTTATGAACTACGTTCGTGTGAATTATTTCCATGAAAGAACCACGTAGTTTCGTATGAGTCAACACAGTGGGAGCAAAGAGATTCTGGAGAAAGTTTTTCAATCGAATGTTTCCATTATTTCCCCATTTCAGATACATGATTTGTAGCATTTCTTAAATAAGTTACCATATTTCGGTATGATGTGCTGCAACATAATGATGTAAATGGCAAAACGCACAAAAATCCGTTTTCAATCCCATCATTTTGGCATTCCAATGTTCCATTAAAATGACGGCCGTCAAAACTGAAAAAATATTTACCCTCATCATGTCTTCTAGTTCATATTTTACATAACCTGATGATTTTACCACTGGGATTTCTGAAAAATAAATAGTTTATAATGATTTTCTGTTAATCGGAAGTTTATTATTAAGAATCAATTCAGCGTTAAGATGTTTTCACCAAGTTACGTATGAATCAACTAGGATTATTCTATATTATAAGGTAGAAATAATTAAATAACTACTGTTTTCCCTTAAAACGGTTTTGGACGAAGTGGCGACAAAAATATTTTGTAGGGTGTAAGAATGCATCAATAGATCACTCACTAGAAGATTCCAAATAAAAGGTTAAAGCTAGCAAGACTCCTAGAGCTGCTATTAATATCATCAATGTCTGAAATTATAAAATACTAGATCAAAATTGCAGATAAGAAAGGCAGATTTAATTCGTTTTACACAATCATATGTTGAACGCTGGTGATTCAGGGTATGTCGCCAGATGGATCTGTCGCAGTATTTACGGATCACAATCATTTAACAACAGCCTTCTAGAAACGTCTAGGATCTTTCGATGTTTCAATAGATTTTAATGTTTACTTTATGATTAGATTGATTAAATGAAATTACCCAAACTGGTTGTATTAGAAGAAGTGGCATTCTACCAATTGCACTACCAGCTTCTTTAAATAGCCGAACTACCTAAAACAGAAACATTTTGTTAATTTGTCCAATTTGAGAGGGTGGTTAATTATTCTCAAGTATTTAATGTATGTGCATTTGTCTATCCAGAAAGATGTGGAAAAGAGACAGATAACTGATGGACAAGGTCGTTCGTACTTCTACCGAAAAACTTCTTACTGATATTTCGCATGATCAATTCTCTCTAACTAACTTACTAATTTGATTCTTTTTCTCATAACTAGTAACACTAGTAAAACTACAACCTATAAACAAAATTAATATCGTTAAAACAGTAGACGAAAACCCTCAAAACTCTAGTCTTATTTGAAGGATATCACGAAGAAGGGAACTTATCGTGCCAATAACACCAACCACAATATCGCACTTGAACCACGGAAATATTCGACTTCCGACTTGCTGTTTCATATCTACTGTATACAGAGTTAGAGCGTGAAGAAGGGATTGGTTGCTGTTGAAGTGATGCTGATCATAGTGTCACAGGGTTCATGGATATTTGACTTAAAGAGGTACGACCAAAATCTATCAATTTCCTAATTCAAACTATAACTAAGTCATTAACCGCCGGCCAAATATACCAAAAAAGGGTAAAGTAGAAAAAAAACCTACTGCCACTCCTGAAGCTACTAAAGAATAAATCAACCATGTTCGAACAACATCTGCTTGTTCTGGAGTCTGATAAGTTGGATCTGTTGATTTATACAGCTTATCAGATAAATACCATTTATACCTACATACAAACAACAGTCCATCGTATAAATGTAAATGAATGTCGTTTTACGTTTTTGGTTCATTTACATGTTCATAAATATAGAGATCCATTTATCAGTTCAAACAACAATGATAAAAGAAATAGAGCTACTCAATAGAATGCTGGGGAATCTTTGAATAAGTCAGCATTAAATCAGATTAAATAAATTCTAAAAAAGGTATATACATGCTTCATAACATGCCTTAATATTATTTAGTTTCAATCAGAAAGTCTTGTAAAACGAGATTACACGCAATAACTGGCTTAATAGAAGCCAAAATCGATCATGTACAAGAAAAATGCGTTTTGAACCTAAAACGATAGCTTGCCAGGCAAGGTAATATACGCCCACTGGCAGCTTTGATTTTGAACATAAATATTTAGCAGTACAGTAACAATTACCAGTATGATATATTCAACCTTCAGACATACACTTCTTTTGAACTTTTTGAGGCGATACTAAATAATAACACCAAGTTTCATCAAAATCTGCCAAGAATTGGACCTTTTAGAGTGTTTACAGACAAACCTTGAACACATTTTTAAGAACAAGGGCAATAACTCATACTTAATATTTTTCGATTTTTTCTGATTTTCGATAGGGTTCATCCTTGGGTGATTACATACACTCACACCAAGTTTCGTCAAAATCCATCAATAATTGTGCTACAAATTGAACGCATTTTCAATAACAAGGGCAATAATTCATATTAAATATTTTTCGATTTTATTGATTTTCTATAGGTTCATCCTTGGGTGATAATAAACAATTTCAGCAAGTTTTGTCAAAATCAGTAAAGAATTGTGACTTGTAGAGTGTTAACGAGCTAAAAATCGAACGCGTTTTAAAGAACAAGGGCAATAATTCATATTAAATATTTTTCGATTTTATTGATTTTCAATAGGGTTCATCCTTGGGTGATAATAAACAATTTCAGCAAGTTTCGACAAAATCTGTAAAGAATTGTGACTTGTAAAATGTTAACGAGCTAAAAATCGAACGCGTTTTAAAGAACAAAGGCAATAATTCATAATAAATATTTTTCGATTTTATTGCTTTTCAATAGGGTTCATCCTTGGGTGATAATAAACAATTTCAGCAAGTTTCGTCAAAATCCTTAAAGAATTGTGACGTGTAGAGTGTTAACAAGCAATTGTGGGCGGACGGGCGGACCGACGGACACGGGTGACGGCAATATACGCCCCACATTTTACGTGGGCGTATAAAAATCAAAAGAATCTGTAAAAAATTGTCGCCTGTTGATTGAGCACAGGGTTGCACAATATAGCTAATAGAGTGAAACGTCAAGTCAGACACGATATTTCGGTGAAAAATTATCCGATCATCGCGAAAATCGATAGGGATCATCTTCATAATGACATTGACATACAAAATAAAAATCAAAAGAATCTGTAAACAATTGTAGCCTGTAGAGTGATCACGAGTTGCACAATATAGCTAATAGAGAAAAACTTCAAGTCAGACACGATATTTCGGTGAAAATTATCCGATCATCACGAAAATCAATAGGGATCATCTTCATAATGACATTGTCACACAAAATAAAAATCAAAAGAATCTGTAAAAAATTGTAGCCTGTAGAGTGAGCACGAGTTGCACAATATAGCTAATAGAGAAAAACGTCAAGTCAGACACGATATTTCGGTGAAAAATTATCCGATAATCACGAAAATCAATAGGGATCATTTTCATAACAACATTGACATACAAAATAAAAATCAAAAGAATCCATAAAGAACGGTAGCCTGTAGAGTGAGCACGAGCCAAATGTGAACGGATGGACGGACCGACGGGGTGATTACAATATACGCCCATCTTACATGTGGGCGTATAAAAAAATTCAACCAGTAACCATGCATTGATCCAAATTGAATTCTTTAAACGACAAAGCAATCCATACCACTGGTTTATTTCTGTGAGCACTAGCAGGAATTAGTTGATATAAGCACACAAGACTATTTAAAGGTATCTAATATATTGGACGTCTTGATTTCCTATGTTATAAGAATGAAGGATCAATATTGATTACCAAATAAACTTACCAACAAAAGCCAGCGGCGCCTGTTACCAGGATAGACATGAAAATTACTATCATCCACACAACAACGCCAGTAAATAACTTCAACATTACAATCATCAATATAGCAGTAGCTGTAATAACAAGCGGTTGCCAAGCATGATATGTCCACTATCCCAATAAATTTACGGTCTATCATGGGCTAGTTCTCTGTACAAATTTAGTGTATGGTTCTTAGATTCATACTTATTCAACATCTCGGTATTTATGGAATCATGCTCAGATAAGAAACCACCAAAATCATGTTAATAAAACGCAACAACATTCTGACAAACGTTATAATTTTAATTTCACAGGCCACTTTTTATACTTGATAATATAGAAATATTTTCAGTATGATTGTTGAATTCTTGCCCGTATTCGCAATTGTTTAAGATCTTGTATACATTTATGCATAAATCCAAGGGAAATGACAAAATCTGTGTCTTCTATCGCGTTCTCAAGCCCTTTCCCATGGAACTATCGGTTTATCAACAATGTACAGTTACTAACCTAAAGCAATTAACGACATATACAGAATTTCTACCCAACTCACCATCACATCAGATATAATAGTCTGGAAATGAAATATTAGGAATTATTGGGGTAGAAACACATATCCCTTATAAAAGTACACACAGTACATACTATAGATTATTTTATTTACCAATGTAGTTCTGATCACTACTCTAAAACAACCCTGATTGTCTCCTACCTCTAATACGAATAAGTAAAAACTCATATTCACTGTCTTATTTGTACAGTTTGAACGCATAGCTCTAAAAATGAATACCTTAGCTATGTCACCAGACATCTTGTGAGTAACTGATGAGGCTGCTGTTGCAGCTGTTTCAAAAATAATTTTTGGTATGCATCTATTCAACAAACTCATGCTGAAAATATAGGATATTCAGTACACACCTATTCAAACTCATACTAAAAATATAGAATATTCTGTACATATCTATTCAAAACTCATATTGGAGAAAAAGAATATTTGGTACACTTATATTCAACAAACTCAAATTGAAAATACAGAATATTCGATACATATCTGGTAGATGGGCTTCAAAAGGTTCCGGATGCACAAGTACGTTCTAAAATTTGCACCTCCTTGTCTTTACGGAGATTACATTTATAATTAATGATAATGATATGTGATTGATTAGAATATTGAAGATGTGTCAATTTGCTGAATGGCTGTACGTCTAATATAATAGATCTTCTCCTGACGTGCAAACGGTTTGATACGTAAAATTCTATCGGATCTCATTCATAGAAAAATGATTGCAGAGTTTCGCTTTTTAAAAGATGCAATAATCGATTACACTTACTGAGGAGTGACTGGTAAGTCAGGACAAACTGTAGAATTAGCAACATATGAATTAACATCATACTGACACAGTGACGTACCGGTTCTGGTAGTAAACGAATTGACATCTGATCCTATGATCATACTTTCATCAGGGCATTCTGCTATACACACCATAATGGTGTCTGGATCTGGTGTTACATCCATATTAGGCATTGATGCCATGAAATATTTTTGATCAAAGAAGAACAATTTCCTGGAAGTTAAAAGCAAGAGATTATCAATCAGGGATGCAGGTGGATGAAGGGATTGACAAAGAAAAAGACTTTTACTCGATCGGATAAAGATGCCTTGATATAATTCCACTTTCCTGTCAAAATTTTCCCAATTGTAAACTGCATGTTATTGTTTGCTTAATCGAGAGCAGAAAAGTATCTTTTTGAAGTTTTCCGGTTCACAGTTTAAAAGGCGCAGAATGTCCTAGGAGTTTCGTTTGACAAGTGTAAGAAAAGGTAAGACACTCACGGCCTATTAGTCACGTCTCTTCCAGCAAACTGGACAGAGATATTTAGATCTGCATTTGTCTGTCCACAAATATTACCCCAACTGTCATAACCATACCGTAGTAAATTTAGATTACCCTTAATAAAAGCTAGATATCCAACATAACCCTGAAATACACCAAGGAATACGGAAATATATGTAGGTGCATTTCCTTAATGAAGTAAAGGGATTATAATACTGGTACTCGATTATTCGATGATTCGGATTTTCCTAGCTACTTTCGCTCCTTTAATTCAGCAAATCATTGAGAAATATAGAAAATTTCTATAAAAATTTGAAACTCGACCATAATATTTTATCCCTTCTTGATTATAAATATTGCATGAAGAAGTCCTCTATTGACAGGTAATACTTTTGTAAGTTCTAACAGTTAGTTATTTCTCACCATTCCACCCAAGAACAATGTAAATATCAGGAAAAATAACACGTCAGTACACCTTCGATTCTTCCTAGGTCCAATTTCATCATCCTGAAAGAATTGTTAAAGCACACGTGAGTGACATAGTATGCAGATTTATATGGGGATTCAGGCCTGGGACTGGGTGAGGCATAGGAGTAGGTACTAATGCTACGCCCATTTTACAGGTCTAGCCTAAAGCTAAGATTCCATATACGCGTCATGCGTCCGTCATGCGTTATACGTCAAAAATCGAAATGGTTGGTTTAAGAGAGCATGATTCCATATATGCGGAAGCGGTATCCGTCAAATGGTCTCCGTCATGCGTCAAAAAAAAATCGCTGGGTGTAGCGATTTTTGACGCATCCTGACGCCTTTTCGCGTCGAGATCTCTCAAATGTGACGTATTTTGTGGGGATTCCCTGTCTTTTTTATGCACCAAAGCATCCATCTGTCTAGAAGTCCGCGCGTCAAAAGAAAGATAACGCATACGTTTAACGCACATGTGAAATCATATTTGACGCATGACGGATCCGCATGACGAGTATATGGAATCTTAGACTTAGTTTAATTCTATAATAAACCTAGGTATGGTAGAACCAGATGTTCTTAACTAAATAGAATGTCATAGTAGTTGATGTTGATGTTACTTGTTTATTAGCCTTTTTTTCTTGACACAAGCAATCGTTGAATAAACATGCAGTTAATCAAGCATGAAATTAGGCTAATACTAATGAAAAAAAAAACCTAAACAAAGCGAGGAGAGCATTGAATCACCTCGTCGTACTCAAAAGGTTCAACTGTAGTCGCTTTTCTACAGCATCCAAATGCCATGTTGACTGGGGATGAGTTGGTCGAAGTAGGCCTATCCTCCTGATATTTTTTAGCCAGTCTGATTATCACAATATAGCCTATCTTTGCGAAAACGATGAAATAGTTGAGACAAACACGACGTACAGATTGGCGGCCTTTCATTTACGTGACGTCACTTCCCATGACGTTAACATAGATTTACGGAATATTCCGATGCTACTTCGGTTTATTTCGTAGGACTTCGTAATTGTATAATTTCACCTATAAAGTGTTCTGCAACTATCTCGTTGCGTGGATTTAGATTTAAGGAAACTGTCTATCAAATGTGAAATTATATGCAATTAATCATAGAATTCGGCTCTTAGACAGACAGTGAAATTTTAAATTGCCTAGCCAACGTTTAGCCTATGGCGGGCCTGTTTGCTATTTTTGCAAGGGCAAAAAGTTATTAGGACTAAAGGATGTGTCAAGAATTTGTAATTTTCTTTCAGGAAAACGGACGGATTTACTTTAACTGAAAATACATATTTTTTAACAGAATTTGTATATAAAATTTGACTTCATTTTTACAAAAAAGAGCTATATAAATACACTAAGCCTATTTAGCCTACCTACCTAAAGGTACACAAGTTATACAAATTGATTTAACAAATAGTGTACAAAAATGTTACGCTCGCGTACCCCAGGTAGGGCCAAGTCAGTGAAATTTACTGCATAATTTGAAATAATACTTTGGTTATTTTGATTATTTTGGTTTTAAGTAGGCCTACGACATCATATTTTGTTATATTTGTGACTTGTGATCTATTATGCAAATAATGTTGATATCATCGTTTAATTAGACTACTGCCTATTAGCCTGAAGATATCCAAGTTTGAAGAGTGAAATAATTATGTAGGCCCATATAAAAACCTAGGTGAAATGGGCGTTAATTTCAATATGTTACACACATGAAGAAGTAAATAGAATTGAATTTCTTGATTCAATCATTAGATAAAGTAAAAAAATCTTTAAAGTTGCATTAAATTTTAAATAAAAGAGATTATTTTATTGTAAAACTTTCACAAAATATCAATAATTTTCATTTGAAGTTCTATATCCGTTTCAATATGGTTCCGTAGCAAAATAGATGTTATGATTATTATCTTGCATTATTTTATATAAAAGTCAAGTTGATCTATTGATTTATTTATCAACTGAACATGAACAGTTAGGCTGAACAGCTCTACATTCCACTTAACAAAACATCATGTTCCCCCATATATCTGCTTATTATTTTCTAAGGAGAAAAATCACTTTTAAACGGGTTATGGATCATGAAGATGAAGGGGCCAAGTAGGGACAAAATTGTCAAGGGGGACTCTTTCACGATGTACAATGATGAGAAAATTTGAAAGAGGGGTCCGTGGGAGGAGGCATAGCCGGTGAGTCTCTTTCTTTAGAGGAAAGGTGATGGATGGCCCACCCTGCCCCCTTCTTTTTATATTAATAGATGGACATTTGTTTATTGCACACCTGGATACTATATACTCAAAACAATAACACAAACAATTTATTTTATTATAAGGTAGGATAGGTAGTTATTAACATAATTAGTAATGATATTATTTTCCATCTTAAGATTCATACTGTTTGTAAAAATATCTAATTTTGCAACATTTTTGCTCGCTCATGTAATTAACTTTTTTCACCATTTCATATCGTATCATCTTAATGTTTCTATTTGTATATATATGTATTTGTAGCAGTTAGGAGATTCCAGGGAAGATTACCTCTATAACGATTTTATCATTATTAGTATATAGCTCAAATCAAAATAGATTGCAATTGTTCATGTTACATTCATATTCCTTCTTAAAAGAAAGCAAGCGAATGAAATATTAATCTGGACATAATAAGCGGTTCTCTTAGGACATATATAAATTAACGTTTTGAATCATGATTTAGATTAATTATTTCAATATGATTTCACTGAATTATCCTGCTGTTTTCTTAAAGGAATAGGCTACTACCTCTTAGAATAGACATAAACTTTAATCTCTCATATCTGGTCAACACGTGTATATTCATAAGTTGGACTTATCTGGTGCCATGACTAAGAATAGAATCTCAATATATAAGACGAAATATTAAACTAAATAATAATTGAATCGCGCTTCTAAGCGTGTTTCAAAATTACTTAGTAGAATTATTACAATACAATAAAATAGTGCAATTGTAGCGCGATATAGAGCGATATAGAAATACCACTATTAAAATAATGCCCAATACATCAATTTTAGAGCGATATAGAAATACCACTGTTAAAATAATGCCCAATACATCAATTTTAGAGCGATATAGAAATATCACTGTTAAAATAATGCCCAATACATCAATTTTAGGGCGATATAGAAATACCACTGTTAAAATAATGCCCAATACATCAATTTTAGAGCGATATAGAAATATCACTGTTAAAATAATGCCCAATACATCAATTGTAGAGCTATATAGAAATATCACTGTTAAAATAATGCCCAATACATCAATTGTAGAGCGATATAGAAATACCACTGTTAAAATAATGCCCAATACATCAATTGTAGAGCTATATAGAAATATCACTGTTTATAAATGCTCAATACATCAATTGTAGAGCGATATAGAAATATCCCCGTTTAAATAGTGCTCAATACATCAATTGTAGAGCGATATAGAAATATCCCCGTTAAAATAGTGCTCGATACATCAATTATTGTAGAGGATATAGAAATACCTCTGTTAAAATAATGCCCAACACATCAATTTTAGAGCGATAAAGAAATACTACTGTTAAAATAGTGCTCAATACATCAATTTAGAGCGATATAGAAATACCACTGTTAAAATAATGCCCAATACATCAATTTTAGAGCGATAAAGAAATACTACTGTTAAAATAATGCCCAATACATCAATTTTAGAGCGTTATAGAAATACCACTGTTAAAATAATGCCCAATACATCAATTTTAGAGCGATATAGAAATATCACTGTTAAAATAATGCCCAATACATCAATTGTAGAGCGATATAGAAATACCACTGTTAAAATAATGCCCAATACATCAATTGTAGAGCGATATAGAAATACCACTGTTAAAATAATGCCCAATACATCAATTTTAGGGCGATATAGTAATACCACTGTTACAATAATGCCCAATACATCAATTTTAGAGCGATATAGAAATACCACTGTTAAAATAATGCCCAATACATCAATTTTAGAGCGATATAGAAATACCACTGTTAAAATAATGCCCAATACATCAATTGTAGAGCGATATAGAAATATTATAACAGCTTTAATATTTGTAGAAGATTTATTACTTAGTTTTATGGATTAATTGGATTATAGTGGGATTCCTTTGTAAGTTATCACACCACTATTTTACAGTGACCTATTCTAAATACTTATTTAATACGCATTTAAACAATCAATCTGTTCCCTATTAGCCATTAATGTATTTCCATTGAAATTGTTCGTCTGTGTTTGCTATATAAATATTTTAAGTAATTTTTCTTGAAAAAATTCCCGTAGGCAAGTTTTTAAACAAAAGTTTCATTTTTAGTTTTATATATGATTTATGATAGAAGCGTAGTTTTAGCATACCGATAAATCGAGGGTACGAATCCAAACAAGACCTCAATCGAAGCAGTGATCTGGTGGCTCCAAATTGGCTAAAGGGGCAGAAATCATTTTGTTCTTTTTGTACTAACCGATATAAAAAAAAACCATTTAAACAAATGTAGTCAATAATGCAAAACTCGAAAAGCAACTTTTAACTATAAGCGTGAGCGTCAGATAAAATGCATGTGGCCTTCACCTGCATGCGTGCGAATATTAAAGAGACGATAAACGACGCCTTTTTCGAATACTGCTTCTAGTAACCTTCTAGAAACTAAACTTAAATTGTCAAGTTTATAATGACATTCATGATGGTTATAACAACAAGGAAATTAACATTCCTGGTTATACTAGGACAAAAACGAAATCAAAACCTAGTTTGAGACTCGAGTCACCTATGTATGGTAATTGCCACCTTAAAATGAATTTGGTTTCCGAAATACGCTATTAAGTTGAGTCGCACCGACCGCCAATAAAATCTGTTCACATTTTGAAGACGGAAAAGAAAATTATTATTCAACATTGTTTTTATAACATTTTGAATATCTAAAACATAATAAGAGAGGGGCACTGCTATGAAAATAGCGGACCTTTCCTTACAAGTGTTAAAAAAGGGCTGTTGCGCCCCCTGCAACAATTGGGCGCCCCTTGATTTTCCGTCTCCGGTAATGGAAACTTAACTGCATGTATTGAAAATTATAGTATAGGAGACTGCAGGAAATAAAAAATTATCTTGCAACATTTCCTTCTTTAATTTAATCAATTGATTTGTATATTGGATTAATGACATCATTATGATGTTATACCTCAGCAGTTCACATTCTGACTTTGATTGTTTATATTGTTTATCAAAGTCGCTACAATATATTGATTTATATAGTATATAGGCCTAGGCCATTAGTCAGAGTTTATGGTTTAAAACTCCATTCGAAAAAAATACAGATAAATGTATATCAGATGAGAATAAGTGAAGAATTTCCGTAGTGTTGGACTAGTGCTGTACACAGCATGCAATTGCTTGTTTTATTTTTTATATTTATGGGAATAGGGAGTGGTCAAGTATGTGAATTAATATTTATGAAAATCCAATACACAGAAAAATTAATAAACAGTTATATTGAGCATTTATCAAAGGTAAATTCGGAACAGAAATGTGCGGAATATTGCAGAGACGATGTTTTATGTAAATCAGTTGGTATTGACACCAGTAAAATGGATTGTTATTTATATGATGGTAGAGTTTATGCTGGATTACCAGGAACAGTCAATACAGATATGATATATTACTGGCAGCTAGAAGGTAAGTGGTGATCATACCAGAATATCTAAATATTAATGTTCAATATTAGATTAGGTCAGATGCGTTTATTGCATTGGCACTTGCAAAACATAATGTTATAGCATTGACAAAAAGTAAATACAAAAAACGTTTCTAATACATTATTTACAAAATACTGATCTATTTGTATAAAATAGAATAATGAATATATAGAGGTTATCTTATGGCTACGAGTGGGTATGGATTTTATGCTTTCTGGTTGTGATATTTTCACATAGCCACTCTTGAAAATATCACAAGCACTCATGGCATAAAATGATCGAAAGAAAGATCAGAACTGGTTTGGTTTGTGATTTGCTAACATTGATGCTTTTAAACAAATTGTATTGTTCTTATTACAGGATTTTTGATACGATCTCCGGTTCTCATCTGATTTATTTCTGTTATAAACATTTCGAGATATACTAAAAGCTTGCTTTTCCAGTTAACAAACAAAATAGGAACTTTTTAAATCACATTTTCTTACTTTCAAATATACGATAAAACACTTTCTATGCAACTATAATCTTATAGTAAATATAATTCATTACTTGTATTATTTCAGCTGAATGTCCTATACATCTTGGATACAGTGAGAATCCTACTAGTAAAATATATAGTAAATATAATTCAATACTTGTATTATTTCAGCTGAATGTCCTATACATCTTGGATACAGTGAGAATCCTACTAGTAAAATATATAGTAAATATAATTCAATACTTGTATTATTTCAGCTGAATGTCCTATACATCTTGGATACAGTGAGAATCCTACTAGTAAAATATATAGTAAATATAATTCAATACTTGTATTATTTCAGCTGAATGTCCTATACATCTTGGATACAGTGAGAATCCTACTAGTAAAATATATCGTAAATATAATTCAATACTTGTATTATTTCAGCTGAATGTCCTATACATCTTAGATATATTGAAGATCCTACCAGTAAAATATATAGTAAATATAATTCATTACTTGTATTATTTCAGCTGAATGTCATATACATCTTGGATACAGTGAAGATTCTACCAGTAAAATATATAGTAAATATAATTCAATACTTGTATTATTTCAGCTGAATGTCCTATACATTTCAGATACAGTGAGGATCCTACCAGTAAAATATATAGTAAATATTTTTCATTACTTGTATAATTATTATTTCAGCTGAATGTCTTATACATCTTGGATACAGTGATGATCCTACCAGTAAAATATATAGTAAATATAGTTCAATAGTTGTATTATTTCAGCTGAATGTCCTATACATCTTGGATACAGTGATGATCCTACCAGTAAAATATATAGTAATATAATTCATTAATTGTATTATTTCAGCTGAATGTCCTATACATTTTGGATACAGTGAAGATCCTACTAGTAAAATATATAGTTAATATAATTCATTAATTGTATTATTTCGGCTGAATGTCCTATACATCTTGGATACAGTCAAGATCCTACTAGTAAAATATATAGTAAATATAATTCATTACTTGTATTATTTCAGCTGAATGTCTTATACATCTTGGATACAGTGATGATCCTACTAGTAAAATATATAGTTAATATAATTCATTACTTGTATTATTTCAGCTGAATGTCCTATACATCTTGGATACAGTGAAGATCCTATCAGTAAAATATGTAGTAAATATAATTCAATACTTGTATTATTTCAGCTGAATGTCCTATACATTTTGGATACAGTGACGATTCTACCAGTAAAATATATAGTAAATATAATTCAATAGTTGTATTATTTCAGCTGAATGTCCTATACATTTTGGATATAGTGAAGATCCTACCAGTAAAATATATAGTAAATATAATTCAATAGTTGTAATATTTCAGCTGAATGTCCTATACATCTTGGATACAGTGAAGATCCTATCAGTAAAATATATAGTAAATATTTTTCATTACTTGTATTATTTCAGCTGAATGTCCTATACATCATGGATATAGTGAAGATCCTACCAGTAAAATATATAGTAAATATAATTCAATACTTGTATTATTTCAGCTGAATGTCCTATACATCTTGGATATAGTGAAGATCCTATCAGTAAAATATGTAGTAAATATAATTCAACCGAAATTACGTGGCTAGAGGCACGAGATCAGTGTCAAACAGAGAATGGTATTTTAATGTCAGTTGATACCCCGGAAAAAACAAATCTTCTTCATGAATATGCATCCAACACAGGTAACAAAATATAATGTTGGATATAATATTCATAAAAGTTTCATGGTTGGTAGAATGCAAAGTTTGATGATGTCGCCTTCAATAAGATAATCATAAAAAAGGATGCCCACAGCTCATTATATACCTATAGACCTATATTACCATTCTCTCAAACAGTAAATCTTAATTTTGAAAAATTATTAAGCCGAAATCGAGTGAGGAACCAGAATCTTTCTCTTTACTTTCAGATTCACGCAAAAAATTGTTCCTGGGAGCAACAGATATAGCGGAAGAAAATGTATGGAACTGGTTTAATGGTATACCTATAGATAGATCAAAATTTAATTTAAATCAACCAAACAACTTTGATAATGTTCAGCATTGCTTGATTTATAGATATGATACACCAACCGGATTTGATGATACAGAATGTAATAGTTACAGGTACAGTTTTATTTGTGAGGTTCCTACAAGAATAGCCTATAATACTTAAAAAAATATAACAAATAACAATACTGTATAAACTTGGATGGATGTTCTTATATAAATCATATCAATATATATTATATTACGATAGTTTCAAATCGAAAGAGAGAAGATTATCCTATTCTCCGGTGTGCACTGTTTGTGTTGCTAGTCTACATTAGCCAAATGAATTACAGAAAAGTAGGATGCAAAACTTCATTTCAATTTATTTGACTGACATCACGATTTCCAATATGCAAAGTTGAGAGCAGTTCACCATCCACCAGAGTATGTTCAAATCAGCTGAAAAATGAATATGGGTTAATTCGCCAATAGTCTTCAAATTCGGATTATAGGGACGAGTTTGCCATTTTTTGACCAATGGAATTCATTCAACACGAAATTAGTACACCCGGTATAATTATATTTGAATATGCTTTATATTTATACCAATGTGTTTTTATTCTTTCTGGAAGTAAAAGTTCATACGACTAAAATAGCATTCTTATGATAATCGATTGAAAACGTATTCCATATCACCATATTAATGTATGATTGATATCCTGTGAAAAGCTCAATCAATATGTTGTTCTTGATTTCTGGTTTTTAGTTGCTATTAGGATTGTTAGTACTTGGTTTATTTATTCTACTTATTTAAACAGATTTTATAATTATAAAGCCTATGTAGGTTTAAGAGTTTGTACAGCATACATTTCTTTATAATACCACAAGGTAGTTATATAGACATACATTGTATTTGAATATATATACATAAATAGATTGCAAACAAATGTGGTGGACTATATGATTGTATCAGTATTGTATTAGATGACTGAAAGAGACTGGTTTTCTGCGAAAGTTGCGTCACGAATTCTTAAAATATAGTGCGCTAGCTTTTGAACAAATTGCTACCGAAATGCTAACCATTTTGTACCATACACTGGATGGGCATTTATTTCGAGTTAAAATTCTCTCACATGCTCATTTATCCACCCCTCTGTGTTATAAACAATACACAAAGTATGGTCATCTTTTTCGAAGCGTTCACAACACAATCATGACACCCATGAAATTGATTTATCGACAAACGGTGGAAGGGACAAAGGCATATTTACTATCCCTAAATAAGGCCCCACTCGTACGTCGTAAAAAGAGTCGGTAGTCTTCATCCACTTTAAAGATGATCACATCAATATAAACTTCACGAATTACGTTGTAGATAAGCTTTACAAGTAGCACAGCAATTAAATCGGAAGTTCGAATATCGACACATTTTTAACATTCCCACTAAATTACAGTATCGAGATTTGTCTGCGCATTCTGAAACGAAAAATCAGAACTTAGATTATGGAAACAGACAATACGATTATGGAATCAATGTCACAATATCCATCTCACACCAGATCCCAAGAACTTAGGTTTTGAAATCTTTCATGAGACGATGTGAATGTGATCCTGAATTTACAATTAGAAACAGTTCAAAGTTAAAGAAAAATTGTAAGCCAATCAAGCAATCAAATTCTTGGGTATGGCAACACCTCATATAGACGATCATAAACATGTATTGGCGAAATTCCAACCGCTATTTTAAAGTCATTGTGGCAACCTTCCATTGTACTTACCTTCTACACAAGGTCTCGGTGAACAGGTCTTTCTTGTTATAGGTCTTGGTTTACCTTTGCATGCTGACCATGCTGGTAGTTTAGATCTCTTCCAGATACATGTCAATATACGACTTTTATACCCTTTCTTTGCACATCGCGGTAAACACTGTAATTCAAAAAACAGATTAAATCAATGTACACAATGTACACAAGTCCCTAAACATCACAACACGGCCAATTAATATGTAAAAAGCGTGTAAATGGGTTTCCATTTCGATGTAAATTCGTCTCTGCAAATCTCAACTGATTGATTCAAATCAATCCTATATTTTAAAAAGTCAATTTTCTGCAATGTGGAAACAAATACCTCAGTCCATTTCGTTGTTCTCCATACACTATAACAATCAAAACTACGACACTCTTCTTTATGCTGTGGACGCTCTAGAGCCGCACAAACATCAAGAGGTGCCCTGGTTCCATTTGAATGAATACAATGTAAAGGTCTTTTCTTCTGACCGTAACCATCTCGAACACACTGCTTTTTATTACACTGCAAGTAGAAAACAGAACTCATCTTGAATTATATCAGTTCACCAAAAGAATATGAAAGAAATACATTGTCATTTGCATTTCATATTCCGAAGAATATAACAACGAAATTCATTTTAAGGGAGATAAGAACAATTATTTGTAGTTTGGATCAAGACAAAGTTACCAACCTTTGACCACTCTCCAATTTCCCAAGAAGGACAATCTTCTCGAACTAAACATTTCTGTATTGAAATTGGTTTCGTCAAACCCCACCTCTTGCATTCTCTGTCGCTTAGCATTTTCATGTATTTGTGTGTAATTCGAGTGCATTTTACTTCACGGGTTTGCTGACCGGAGCCACAAGTTTGTGAACACGGCGACCATGAACCGGAAGTGAAGATCAACTGCTTTGTGGCGTTGTATCTAGGATCTTGAGCGGCTTGACCTCCGGCTGCCTCATCGTTTATTGGCAACACTAAATTACTCTTTTTGTTAGCTTCCCTTAGTATTTTCTTCATTTCGCGCGCTTTTTTAAAAGCGTCTCTTTTGCTTTGAAACACGATGGTAACTGAAGCACTCTGTAATCCAGCACTACACGTATACACACCAGCATCTATTTCCGGTTTAGTTTTTCTTAATTTCAGATTTCCGCTAAAAGTCGTGTGAATCCGACCTGCCATCATAGGGATGAGTTTATATCCTTTACTCCAGAAAATCAACTTCCGCTGAAAATGTTTGACGGGACATTTAATAACTGTTGATTGTCCCGGAAGTAGTACAACCTTGCCCCCAACTATCAACCTCACCCTTTTAGAACGCCTAAATTGAACGTAGGTATAGTTCTCAGATTTTATAATTGGTGGAGGTTCCTCTGTTCCAAAACATTTACCAAGATGGCACTCTCGGGATGTGATTGGTTTCGGACCCATACATTCTGTATCTGATACTGTAACCTGACGACCAACTATTGGGGACTTGACACAGAAAGCTCTACGATTCTGGATACCAACACCACATGAGGTTGAACACTGAAAGAAATTGTAAAAATTGTACTTTTCGGCTCTACTTGTCGGAATTGAGATGAATTGATTCAAAAGTGAAAGTGAAAGGCACAAAGACAAAGAATATAAGCTGTGATCTTGTATTTTTCACGCGTATTAAATTTAAATGGCTCCATTTTTGCCAATTTATCTCGATATAAAGGCATTACAACATTACCTTCGACCAGTCCCTAGTCATCCATCTAGCTGGACAAAACTGTGTGTTGCAATTACGTTTTGACATGGGAATAGCTCCAGGACATCTGTGAGATTCAACTGGTACTTTTGAAATTAAAGATCGTTCTTCAATACATTCTACTGGCCTTTCTTGTACCCCACCTCCACACTCAACTGTACATGGTCCATAATCACCCACTTCCCATCTACAATGCAGATAACAAAATTACAAGACTCAGTGATGGTTTTATATGGATTGGTATTAGAAATTCCCTTGGAATAATTGTGATAACAATCAAATGAGATGCAAGCAGACAGTGGGTTGTAGAAACGCTTTTTGGGGTGAATAAAAAAAAATACGATGCAAGATAAAAACTACGGAACACCTTTGAAAGGCATCAACATCAATTGATACATCTTTTTACATGTCAATGACATATAAGCTATGATAATAATGTTCTTACCTTGGCGGACATGCATGGTCATTACAAATAGTTGGTTTCACCACGGGTGGTACTAATCCTTCACAATGTATTTTATCTACTGTTTGTTTGGTTATGGAGTAGATGCAGTCCAAGAAAGGAAGCCTCTCCCCTACAAGCATAACAATTCATTTAGAGATCAAGGTGTAATGTCGAAACCCAATTTTTTTTTCAGAAATGTCACAATTATATGTCAAAGCTTATTCTGTAGTTTGCTTTTCACTTTTACAGTCCTATCATTCTTGACGATTATAATGATAATGTATTCATACTAGACTGAAGATTTCAACAATGAGTTAAAATGCTCTAAGGCGCACAGTAGATATCTGTATGTATCACATTTGGTTTCTAAACAGTAGAAATCCCAGGTGTACAGGCCACTAGAAGTAGAATCTAATCTGGAAAATAAAAAATGCCACCATATCTGAAACTAACCTTCCAGACAGCTCTTACTACATTCACCATATCCACCAATATTCCAAGAATAGGATTCGCTTGCTGCAGTGGTTGTTTCAATGTTTATGACTGTTGTCGTCATATTTTCATTTATACATCTGTCCAATTGACATTCCTCTCGATCATTTGGTCTTACATCTTCTGAAAATCACCGAAACATACTGACTTGAAATATTCATGAAATGACTTTTATATAATAGTTTATAAAGACCAATTCTGTCAACGAGTAAAGACACATGACTCTCAATTAAAACTCAGGGCGATGGGGGAAATAAAAGGACATTCGCGATTAAAAATAAATCCAAATATATCGTGTGCGAAAAAAAATGATACATTGCAAACTTATTGCTGTTTTAAAAATTTAAAGGACATCTGCAAATAGATGCTTATTGATCATTCCATAAACGTACTCGTATATTATCTTGTATAAAAATATGACATTACTAACAGTGTACTGTTTCTAACGCATTCTGTTTTATTTAGCTGGAATTAGTCAGGTTCGAAATCGTGTTCAAGGTCAATCACGTATGGCCATTAAATCATAAAATCGTTATTTAGTGCAGACTTGTCATTTCCGGTCTATGCCTGTTGCAGATAAACGAAGCTCTTATTGGTACATCAGGACTCACTCCACTAAAACATTTTATGCAAATGTAGTCCAGACTATTTTTAGAAATCTTCTTTCTCTCTCCCTTTTGGGGTTTTTGCCTGCCTATTTTTGGGTAAAATTTGGTCTAGATTTAGAATTTGATGTCTGAAATTGCATTATCTTTCAGATTTGGTGAGATGATGAGAGACCTAAAGGCGGAAGACTAATTCTAAAAATAGTCGTTTTGTGAAGTGCCAAACTCTAGCGGATGAGTATAACCGGTAGTAGTCTACTTTCAATTTTAGTACCTCAAAATTTTCATGGTCATCATATAATGAATTTTTTTAGGAGACATTGAGAATTGGTCAGGCTTTCATTCGACATATTGGAAAGCTTTCAACGAGATTTCTGGAAAAAGTTATAGAAGGTTGAATTTCGTGTTTTAACATGGGAAGAGATGGCAAATGAATTAGTGGAGTGAGTCCATCAGGTCAGTGTCTAGATCAATCTAGTTTTTTTTTTAAAGCAAATGATACCGTATCATTCAAATATTCAGACTGGTTAATTGCGACACAATAATCTTTAACATTCACGAAAGATAAGATGGTGGTATATCGTCGAAAGTAGTTTGAACTTTTATGTTTCTAATTCATGATGAAGTATATATTGTTTTCAAATATCAACAACCTATTTTTTCAATTCATCATTTTATCTTAAATACTTCTGTTATGTTTTCGTTGTTTTGAACTGTATGCGCTAACGTATGCAAGAAACATCATCTATAGGCCTATCATGAATTCACACATCTGAATATTCATTTATTCTGTCTGCGATTTTTTTTTATCATAAAAAGGTTACTCAAGAGAGTTTTACGTCTAGATTTCGGGCACTTCAGTACATGTATTCCATTTTCATTTGTAGAATTTATCATTTAATGAACACGCATTGTACATCAATCTATAATAGAATGTGGTTTGAAATTTTGAAAAACAAACTGCTTTTAGGTTGGTTTGAGTATGGAAGTCGTAATAACTCAAATATAGATCAATACAGACGCCGACTGTTATACACTGGTTCGCCTTACCGTAACATTCTTCATCTTTAACAACTTCAAGGTTCTTGGTTTCTGGTAAAATTGTCTGACATTCCACTGTTCTGGTTTTAATTCCAACACCACATGTAACGCTACAAGTGTTCCATTCTCCTGTGATGTATCTGAAACACAATAGTATATAGATCCCATTGTGGAATGCTTTCGGAACCTTTTTCTTAGAATCTTTACTGTCGGAAGACATGAAGTTTCATGCTTGTTAGGTAGAAGAAACTCCAACTTTGATCACAGACAATACACCACAGGACAAAACACAGACAGCTGTCTTTCCTTGTCAGCGTTGTCAAGTACTTTTCGGATGAGCTTTGACTTGTTTAACACTATTCGCAAAGAGGCGATGAACATGTGGCATAATGGTATCTCTTTCTTACCTTGGTTTGTCATCCACTTCCCCAGTCATCTCAGTGGGATAATCGGGAATAGCTTCTGAAACAACAACACATTCGTCTTAAATCATCATTAAAATTTTCAAAGATCTTGTCTTTATAACTCATCGTAAACATTTTCAAAGATCTTGTCTTTATAACTCATCGTAAACATTTTCAAAGATCTTGTCTTTATAACTCATCGTAAACATTTTCAAAGACCCCGTCTTTCTCAGTGTTGATGCCAAGACACTGCAGTTCTCAATAGTTCCGATAGTTTTATATATATATAGTTATGTGGTTATGTGTTTAATTACTGCTCATGCATTATTTACCAGGCGACAAATATTATTATGTTAATAAAATGATAATAAGTCATATGTATGAAGATCTGTAGCCAGATGTCAACTCTTGTAACTTACTTACCATCACTGGGATAATATAACATATCTTCATCTACAAAAAAGAGAAAAGTTTATTGCCTCAAATTATGAACTGTAAAATACTATGTATAATGCACATCTCATGGATATTACGTCATCAAATATAAAAAAGCATGCTTCATAATGCAATGTGATCTTCAAGGTCATACGCAGTGTTGAGCGTTATAGAATCGTTTATCTCAAGAACAGATGAAAGCAGCCAAAGAACATTTTCCCACCTTTCTGTGCACAAATTATTCCAGTATAGCAGATTCGACGATTGGTTGGTTTTGATTCACCGGAACATGGCCCATGTTTACATGAAACAGCTCTAAACTGAAACCCTTTACCACACGTTACTGAACACTGCAAATGCCAATTAATCGTTGTTAGATATGAGAAGTATTTTCCAAGGCCAATCAGTGTTAAATTATCAGAAATATTCTCAATTCTTCAGACGAATGGTATTATAACGGGGATATGCCACAAAACGATGAGACCGATGTACCAAAGAAACAAATAGATATGACTTGTCATACAGTTACAGGATATACGATGTACCCCTCAGGACAACTACAAATCAGTATTCTAAATGATGCAAGCACATCAGTGAAACAGATATTTTAACCTAATCCGCAAATGAGGTTAATCTAAAATTAGTAATTTTTGTCTTGTATGCCAAATCCGTAAATCAACTTTAACCTTGTGATAAGATTTTCTTTTACTTACCTGTGACCAATTTTTAAAAGTCCATTCTTGACAATTTCCGCCTTCACACACTGGTACCAGGCCATTGGTACAATCTGTATAACATTCCCTAGCAATCTGACTAAGTTTACCATCGACAGGACAATGTTTGTCTGAAACCGTCATATTGGTTGTGTGGTCTGTACAGCTGCTTTTCGACCTCTGTAATCCTGTCTAAACAATACAATATCATCATATAGTAACTAACCACACAGTTCTTCGTATAGTTATCAAATATTTCCAATATTTACTGTTTTTTGCATAAACAGGGAACAGATTTCAAATAATCCTATATGACATAAAGAAGTAAAGGCAAAGTTTCAAAATTGAACATTCTGCCTAGTAGAGGCTTAAATTGTGCTTTGATTTATACAAAGTGATGAATTTGATATCACTGAGATTTTTCAACTTTTTAAAGTTCTATTACATAGATGGAACTAGATAAAATACTCACACCACAAGATACAGAGCAAGACGACCAGGATATCAGCCAGGAATACTGACTAGAGCAACTTCCGGTTCCACCACAAACACCACATTTATCTACAGACAACCCAGATCCTATTATATCATCACAACCTACAGACTGCAAACAGACAGATTTCATTACAATCAGTTAAGTTGTTTATCTCATATGTTAACCGACAGATTTTGGATCTGATCAGGTAGTGCTAATTTCAATCAGGGTTTCTTCTTTCAAGATGCCGGTCGGAGGGTTGGACAAGGAAAGAATCATTCAGATGAGACTAACATTCGTGATTCTATGCAGTACAGTCTGTGTTCGTGTTCAATTTAGAATAGGTATGGGAATAAGTGAAATTTATTGCTTTTGCAGGTATGTGGGGTAAGCGAGTTGGTTTCTTACCATACATGTACCACCTATACAGACGTCATCACCTCTATCTCTACACTTGGTACCATTTTCAACCTTCTCCGAGAATGTAACAGTTACATTACCACTCCGACATATTAAAGCACAGGGACTATTTGTATCTAATAATGGCACCCATTGATGTGTCTCTCCATGGAATGGTTTTGAATTAAATTTTTGACACTGTTGATGTCTAGAATCTATACTATTGTCTAAACAAGGCTGAAATGATATAGTGATTGTTTCAGATAAGTTGCCTTTTTATTCTGATGCTACATTTTCGGTTTCTATAAAGTAGTATTTCTAATAATGTTCATAATAAGAAACTTTCTCCACATTTATAATTGTAGACTCCTTTAATGCAACATCGAGTTGATCAGTTCCATAATCTTCATTGTAGAAAGCAACACGTGCTGGTAATCCAAAAAAATAATAATACTGAAAGATGGTAATTTGGTCACCTTTTGCATCGTTTCATATGCCCCGTTGTGTTGATAGCAATGATTGTCTCATAGCTGTTTCTATTTATAATATCCAACACTGGGCCAAATGGAGAAAACGCATCGTCATGCTCTTACCCATTTTCATAATGCAAAGCTATTACGAATTTCGTATAATACCTCGACTGTAATAGCCGCCTTTCATGTCACGAAAGTTTGTACATGCAGCGATTTGTCTGGACTGTGTGCTATAAACTATAGCCAACCTGGGTCTTCGACCGGGCTGTATTCGCTGCATTATCAAACTTACGTGATACCAAGAAAATGTGACTATTGATGTCATTGTATTAGTCGCAGTAATATCTTGATGTTGTGAACATGAGACTTACCTGTCTATTACACAACTTAAATTGGTATTTAATCCCGCTACATGATTGGTCAGTTTTTAAACATGGTATTGTTCTATTGGTCAATCCAGTATCACATGATCGAGAACATTCACTCCATCTAGTCTCAGAATCTTGGCAAAATATGAACTCCAATAATAACACCACCTACAACGAGAAACAAATCATTGTCACTACCCAAGTTACATAATGTCTTTACTTTGCCATAGTATACCCAGTTGGTAAAGTACTCAAATCAAAACATTTATGTAATAAATACCAATTATATACACCAAACATTGAATCTCAAAGAAGCAAAAATAGTCGTTCAAACCACGACCCCTTATCATAGATGGAGCGGCAATTCACTTTAACCAAAAAATCGAATTTTTTCATAAGAGAGGGGTAACACTGCAACTCACATATTATACACGAGTTTCTTGAGTGTGATAATTAAACAAAACTTAAAAGTGGATATGTGCAAGCCTGTGGATTGGTCGATTTGAAAATCATGCCACATCATGAATATTTATTATCTCTGGCCCAATATTAGGTCTACCAGCTAAAGGGAAACATTATAGTTATATTAATAGTTTAGGAAGTGTTGAAGAAACGATAATCTTACTACATGCATTCAGCGGTAAGGTATCAGCAACGGACCTTTACACTGTGAAATCTAAACGCGACAGATTGTTTCCTATCAGTTTCCGGTGCTGAGGTCAAGGACTAGGGTAATATAAACACAACATTGTTTAATTTATCACTTCTTCCAATAATTCAGAAAATCATAAAATAATAAACCAAGTTCACCTCTAGCACTTCAAATATCAAATTTATTCAATTTTACGACAATGAAACAGGCTGGTTTACGACAGCGCGTGACCTATCAATGGTAGCAATGAATTTTTGGAGGACATTTTATTCGGATGTCATGCGTACAGATAAACAGATTGTGTGCACTAGGCTACTGAGAAAATATACTTAATGTGTTAACCCCTCGAGTAAAACCATAAAGATTATTGTACTCAGCTACAGTGAGAAGTCCCTGAAATAGAACTTTAAGTACCTTGATCAGAAATATATTTATCTGACAGAGGCGCATTTACTTAATGTATAAAATCACATTTTGACAACTATAATAAAATACTGCAAGAGCGACGTCATTGGTTTTAGACGACAGACTTCCTACTGAAAATTGGTATGGTGTACAACGATGCTATCAATGTCCCGAATATACATAAAAAGGAAGAGTAATGATCTTTACAATCCCTCTCAATTTATTGTATGTCTGAGTATTTTTTGCTATTCTAAAGTTTGAGTTTGAACAATTAGTAGTTTTTACTGTTCATGTCTAGCGATATATATCAGACAGGAAGGTAAAATGTTATTTACCACTATCTATCAGATATTGTGACCTTTCATATGAAATGTTAAAAACAAAGAATACAGTGTCAACATGCCATGACCTACCGGAAACAAAACAAGTTGTAATTAGTGATTATCAGACACTTATTCGAATAAATAGCTTTCGAGCATGACAGTTTAGAGATATTGATATTAATTGATTCTGTTTTATAATATTAAACCGGTTCTACACAATCAGATAGTCAAATTTTGAGTAAATTGGGTTGTGTAAGCACATCTTGTTGACCTCCAAAAACTGTCGTTGATTAAAAAAAAAACAATGGCTTTTTCTATGTACGTGCGTAGTGTATAATAATTATTGTTTCTATTAATGCAAACTTTAAGTTTGACGTCCATATACAAGGTATCATTCCTCCAAATTTCAAATTTTTGGATTATATTTGATATGATAGACTCGGTTAACAACAGTTCATATCTAGTTTCAAATAGATTATATATTATTTGGGGGGAGTGCATATAGGATAATAAGACAGGTGCAGATAAACGGACCATTTCAAAGTACAAACAGGTGTTTGGTTGTAAAGATGATGTATCATGTGAAGGCAGGAATGTTGTTTAATCTGACAGGGAAATAGAACGGAGTAATACAGAACTGTCCCACCCAACCATCCCAAACGACAGCACAGAAACTGAATATCAAAGAGTTATGCTTTTATGATATCATATTTTATCATATCTGGAGTGCGTTTCGGTGTACTATATAAGTATGGAGGGCCTCTCATAGGTCCGCGCTCAAACTCTACACTATTGTGTAGTCTACGTTAAACAGTTGATATTTTGATAATATTTAAGCTACTTTACTTTCATATATTTTATTCTTATCTTTGTAAAACAATTGTTCCTTATTGTCACTGGCCTTGTCTATTTGTGAAACTCTGTATTGTCCGAATTTACACATTAAACGACTTAATTGAATTATAGTCAAGTCAAATGATTTTTATAATGATGTTGTAATTGAGTTCTTTATGATTCTCATGCCTCCGTTGAATTCGCATGTGACCTAATTAGTCGTAATCGTGACCTAATTAAACAAAGTAATCCTGGATAGAGGTCAAGAAATTGACCCCACAATGGTCATCTAATCCTTTTCAATACAGAGAAATGTGATCTATACTGGACGATGTTGGAGAATTCTTGGTTCTCTTGTTGACTTAAGATTTAACAGATCAACTAACAAACTAACAACTTATAAAGCACTTTTATTTAGAAATAAGGGTCAAGACCTTTCAGTGGTAAAACGTTTATAGATTTATTTTATTCTCACTCGTTTAAGGAATTAGTTCAAGTAAAGTTTTCCCGGCATAATGCATTATATTGAAAGTGTATATATACCGCATTATTTTTTTGTTCATTACTCATACTACCACCTGAACAAAAAATATGGACTGCCCGTTTTTATGCTTTAAATAGGAAGGGATGTGCAAAACTTATTTTCTCAACAGTAAACTCCCATTGCATAACATCTATCAAAATTATAGATAACACAATTTTTGAATAAAATCAGTAATTGAAGACTTCTCCAAAATTATCTATATCGAACCACCTTTACTGAAAACCATTCAAGGAATATCAATGACAGTGTTGAAGAGTATCATAATTATCAAAGCAAATGAAGCCTTGTATCTCATGATTCTGAAAGCGCACATATGAGATTTTATAGGTAAAACGAAAATCACGAAAAGAAATGATCATTTTGATTTTAATATAGACTTTATGTAATCGTTAGTTTTATCTGTTAAGATATTAACTTTATTGATTTATTACAACTAGTTAAACATAAATATCACCAAGTCATTTGGAGAACACAACATACCCCGTAAGTTGGATAGGCACCCGTATCACCTGTCAGAATGAAAATCTAACTTCAAGACAATCTAAATTGTTTGAACTTCTATCAGGCAAAACGCTGGTTATATCAGATCTAATCGAGATGATATAGAATTATACGATAATGCACATTACATTACGACAATTTCAGCTTTCAATACAACCTATAAATGATTTGATTTAAAGGTATAATTGTTATGATCAAATAGTTTCTGTATTGACAAAAAGGACCGAAACTTGCCACAAGAAAGATTACTTTACGTGCAATTGTTTGAAAAATGTAAGCTCGAACTGCTTAAGGGAACACGTCTGCTTTCATTTCGATAAAGATAGGAAATAAGATCTATGATGTGAAATCGGTAACTGTTTCTTCTTTGTTGTTTAAAAAGAATTCTTATTTCTAATGCTAATCCCTGTCTGGAAATTTGTTAAGAGAAAAACATTGTTTACAGACAGTATTATATTATTTTACACAAATTCTTTATTAGAATCCTAGAAGTTATTCTTTATCCCCGACACAAAAAGTTTGAATGTAGTTTTTTAAGATTCATTCCACGGATTTTCTATTTCGATTCAGACAATGCCCAATTGATTATGAATATTGTGTTATTAGGCTGTCACAATGAGGCAAATTTGCGGCGGACAAAAAATTATAGCCTCAATCATCAATAGGTTCTAAATTGTGAAGCCACCTCACTCTTATACCCATTTTCTTTATCGGGGATTGTTCAAAAATTTAATTCTTCCACAGCTAGTCTTACACAGGTTAACAGAATCTGAAGAATAAACCTCTGTATGAAAACAACCTCAAAAACCCAATTTTAGCAGATTACCATGAATTCAGCACATATTTGCTATGTCTCCGTACAAAGATCAAAGACAAGATGAAACCTTGAAAAAGTTTGTAATTATTTCATACAGTGACTTTATATATTATGAGTCGAGAAGTTTTTTTTTGCCCCGTTAATCAAACCATTCAATATCTGAGAATGTATAATGTTTGAATTGAGATAACAAGTGAGCCAAAATAAGAAACGATGGCGTCGGTGTATTGACTTAGGCTTAAAGAGACAATACGGCCAAATACGACTACTTGAATGTTTGAAGTCAACAATTGACAATGAAATACAATGAAGCATTTAGATGAAGACGTCTACAGTTTTCAGGTTTTCATACAGAATCATACTGAAAACATTCACTTTACCGCACCATGAAAGAAAATCGGATACGTCAAATACGACGGTTTTACTTTGTGCTCCAACCTAGCCTTATTTACTATGATTATTAATTGCAGGCTTATCTGATGTCGGGGGTTTTGTTCTCAAAAGTGATTATGTAGTTGAAAATGAGTTCTATCAAATAGTTGACAATCAGTTGCCTGTACTCATTTACAGCGCCCTAAACACTGGATGAATCTGGAATATCAAAGATGTAAGAAAAGGCAACTTTAAAAGCAGACAAAATAAAATGTATAAGAAGTGATAAGGGTAATTCTATGAATGTTCAATAGTAATAAATAGTTGAGTTGTTATCAGTGAAATAGTTGATAGAATTTATAATGATTTTATATTGTAAATATCTCCTATATCTTCTCTTGTTTAATGATTCTTGTCTAGGATTTATTTAATGCTTAATCTATTTCAAGACCTTGAAACTTGACTTTCAGTTGTGTTAAATTTATTAATTACGATTAATACAGATTGAGCGTACTTTGAAATAACATGTCATAAAGAAATGGATGAGGATCAGTAACTTTAGGATCTGAATATTAATTTTTTATAACTTGTGAAGTCTAAATTGAATGGTTCTGTCTGGTTTATACAGTATTGGTTTGTGTACAGCTGTTTGGATCCTGTTTGTTTTTGTTAGTCCTAGTATGTTCTAAAGTTAAATTATTCTTTAATTAAGTCCTATCCATACGTAATTTAAGCTTGATGGCCCTGTCTGGCTTGTGTAATGTATTTTATTATCTAAACTAGATGGCGAGAGTGTTTTTGTGATGTCTTTTATTATCTGCTAGTTATCAGCTAGGGTAGCATGTGTAACATGGGTAGCATGACTTTGTGTTATATACATTCGTGTGTGGTAAGCTAGATGGCTCTGGGTTGTTTTTGTAATGCGTTTCGTTATCTCAGCTAAATGGTAGCTTGTTAATATCAATTTTTGTTTTTCTGCTAAATGGTTCTAGATAGCTTGTGTAAATTGTTTTGTTTAGTCATCTTGATAGTTCTGGGTGGTTTGTGTAATATAAATTTGTGTTTTGTCAGTTTGATGGTTCTGGGTGATTTGTGTAATATAAATTTGTGTTTTGTCAGTTTGATGGTTCTGGGTGGTTTGTGTAATATAAATCTGCGTTTTGTCAGTTTGATGGTTCTGGGTGGTTTGTGTAATATAAATCTGCGTTTTGTGAGTTTGATGGTTCTGGGTGGTTTGTGTAATATAAATTTGTGTTATGTCAGTTTGATGGTTCTGGGTGGTTTGTGTAATATAAATTTGTGTTTTGTCAGTTTGATGGTTGTGGGTGGTTTGTGTAATATAAATTTGTGTTTTGTCAGTTTGATGGTTCTGGGTGGTTTGTGTAATATAAATTTGTGTTTTGTCAGTTTGATGGTTCTGGGTGATTTGTGTAATATAAATTTGTGTTTTGTCAGTTTGATGGTTCTGGGTGGTTTGTGTAATATAAATTTGTGTTTTGTCAGTTTGATGGTTCTGGGTGGTTTGTGTTATATAAATCTGCGTTTTGTCCGTTTGATTGTTTGTGTAATGATGTTGGTCAACAGAATTATGTGACTAAGTGGTAGATTATACGATGTATCCAATATTGACAATAAACTTAATAGAAATATTATCATCATGTCATCTGATATGGTATTATGTTAGTATTGTTACATAGCTAGGTGGGAAGGAGAAGCTTTATATATCAATTCTCTCTTAGTGTCCAATGAAATATTGATATGCAATTTAATGAATTTATCAAAATTCAAAGGTATGCCAGAAAGAATAGATTGTCTGTATAAAGTATTTAAAAGATTTTTGGTGTTGTCTTCTTTCAAAAAGTTGTGCAAAATCGCAACAAATGATGTTCCATTGTGTTGATGAATGCTTCCTTAAAATACCAATATTGCCAGGTTAGCATTCTTTTTACGAAAGTTTAAACAACGAAACTAGAATATGTATTTTGTCCAATAAAACTGCATGGCTGAACTGTATATAAAGTCAGAGTAACAGACCAAATAATAAATAAATAAATAAAATATATAAAATAAAAAAAATTAAATAAATAAAGATACATGGCATGTGGTGTGAGGTATTTATTTCTAGTAACAATAGTCATATGTGATGTTTATTTTTGAAACCCTATCAGACCCGGTCCTCTCAGACTTCCTGGTGAAGGTCAGGAATGTGTAATTGATACGTTCTTCATAATCAATTATCAGACAAATTGACTCCACCTGCATTTCAACCAGTCATATCATCAGCATGTGAAGTAGGTTTAATCTTCTACTTTGGCTTTTCCGAGATACTTAGATACCTGATGCCGACGTCGTGAAAGATCACTTGTTTGGACACCGGGTGTGCATGACCATTGGTCTGAGAAGCCGTAAAACAAGTAGAATCCCTCCCTTTCACATATATCTCATAGAGACGCCGTAGCGTCAAGTTTCACAACCATACATTCATAACATTCGATTGCGAAGTCTTTACCAAAAGTTGAGTTGGAACTTGTGATTAAGTGTTGTTGGTGGACAAAGCTGTCATGGCAACTTGATGATAAGTGCAAAACACCATTTAGCCATTTTATCATTTCAGATGTATGAAAACGTCTGTGGTGGCGTTGCTTGTCCGCTAGGTCCCGGGACTGAGTCGCCTAAAGTCCTTCCTACTATCGCCAAGATTCATTGAGGAGGTGAAAGTGTCTACGATGAAAAACACGACCCACCTTTGTTTGCTTAACAAACCTGCCAATTGTGCTGAATAGACAATTTGTAGGTTGTACGTTTTCATGATTACGGGGTTGGTAAGTGTTCAACATGAATACGTTTAAGTTTTAACGATTCTTTTAATTCTATTTACATAAAACATTCACTTTAAAGATTAATAAACATCCAAAATTCGCAAGAAAAAATGATCAAAGAATTTCTACCTTTTTGTATTTTTTCATAAAAATCTGTTATAAAATAATGAGGTGGAACTCGTACACAACATGTAGTCTTATAAAGTCTCAGGTGGGTTGCTAAGAGCGGTTCTTTTGCACCTTATTATTTGTTTTTTTTAACAGTTTATCCGCGCTGATACGTTGTTTGATACGTTTGTCTTGATGATTGATTTAGCAATGTATTTTTCTGAATATGAAAGTTTCTGGAAACTACCGACAACCCAAATCTCCCAACCTTTATCTCCCCAATATGTTGCTTTTATGACATCATGTAACGTCAATTTCACACGGAAATCAAAAGTTATATCCTTGACACCCGAGTGTCACCATTCCGTTAAACATAACTTGTTAAGCTACGTACCTTAAAGCCATTACAGGTGGAAAGGACTTAGTTATTAATTGGCTGTCACTTTGTAACTGTTAGCCCTGAACAAAGGAGGTATCTATTCTTCAAAGTCATTTGTTATTAATTATATTATATAGTACTTTACCAATAGTTCTCAGTGTAATACAAGGTGGTAACTTATACCTTTGACTTTGGTTACTTTCATTTACTAACTTCAATCAGTAACTTCTTAGGCAACTTCGAAGTTACAAACTACCACTTATATTGACATTGGAGATTTTTCTTCCAGAGTTGTCACTCTTCTAGTTCCTGTTCTATGAGTTCGCTCTCTCGGCCTCTCTCATTAGAAATTAAATAAAATTATTCCTTGACATCTACTTGATTTTATTGATGGCATCAATAATACTGCAAGCAGAGATAAGAAGAATTTCTAAAAATGTAATGTTTCATTAATTCATTAATTATATGTTATAATCTGGTTTGCAGGCTTGTAAGTTTTGAAAAATTTAATCTAAATTGAAACGGATACCTTTGAACTTTTAATTAATTACATACTAACAATTGCCTATACAGTACTACCTTCACGAAAAAGGTACCGTACCCGACATTGTCTGTTTTTACACTAAGGTGATGCTAGGTATTTTTCACAACAAATTTCATCACACCTTCTTATCTTCATCAGAGCAGACCCTAGGCAGTGTGCTCCACAAATCATTTCACAAATCATTTTGAGATATAGCCACTATTATTTAACCTTGTTTGGATCAATGTGCAACATAACATTTTCTCCTTACTTTATAATAGCACAAGACCCCTCCTCCTAACCCCAGTCCTTCCATTTAATATTTATTTGTCGCTGAATTTAACTGAAAAACCATATAGAATCTGTGTACTACAAATCTACCACAATAAAGCACTGAGAAGGTCAATGAGATGATTCTATGTTTCATATCAAAATAAATATGTATTATTATAAGGATTAATGAAGTGGGCCAAGTTTTAAATAAATAATCACCCAATTCAAGATAATTTATCAATGCATGGAAATACGTGAGCTGGGTTATTTCTAAGAAATATGAGACACTTTGCGGTTTTGTATTCATTTGATTAAACTAGTAAAACGTAATTCTAACTAGGGGCCGTTGCAGTCACTATTTTGTATTATTTTGCAATATACAGTGATGAAAAAGGAGCGCTTAAAGAATGTTTCCGCGACACCTATTTTCACTATACGATTTGGTTGGTCATTTCGGCACCCATCTAGAGACTCCACACAACTTATAAGTTAAAAATTATGTCCATAACCAAAGTTGCCAAGATGTAAAAAGATAAAAGAGAACTTACCAGAACTGGTGTAAATACTGATAATCCTTCAGTCCTCATTGTGGTAACCATGGAATCATCACAATTCAAAATTCAAATATCCTCAAAATACAGAACTCAAGTCATGGAGTACAATATATCAGACATGGTTTAAGTTGTCACATGTTCGTCCATTTCATTGCATACTTTTCTCTGGTATTTTAGTACAGACTATAAAATAGAAGGTAAAAGGAAACGTGTATCTACAAGAATGAACTAAAATATAAAATCTGCACTTAGTACCAAAGGACTGATCTGGCATGTTAAAGGATTTGAAAGAGTTTTTCCAGTCTGGTGCACTAGTTATCTGAGGTTTAAGCTCTGGCCAAGATTTTCTGGAAGAAACAAAAAGACATAAAAAGACAGATTTGGAATATTACTCCTACATATATACAAGAGAAGAGATAAACGAGGTCATCGCAATCCACAATATCAAAATCAATCAATAATACAAGGGCCAGAGTTACATCAACAGGTTACAACACCATACACACCATGACTTTATTGTAAACCCTCTTTCAATCGAAGAATCATATTGAATTTCACAAAACCTTTTCAGGCACATGACCATTGATATAACTTAGCAGTACATTAGAACCAAATGTTTGATTTTGTATATCTAACAATAATATAGATATCTAAACAATGCAACTACAAAAATTCACCATACGTTTAAGTATCAGACACTCGATTTCACGCTCAATGCAGTTATGATATTAATATTTAGGTTACTGTGGCGCTATAAAGTACCAACTTTCATTATTAATTCCCCAAACCTGTTGGAAGACGTGCCAGAAAAAATAGACTGATGTCAGAAAGGGCAAGAATTAATAAGTACTTCCAGATCAAATGTGTTTCTACAGCATATAGCTTATAATACTGGGTTGGCTGTTGGTCAAGGCTATTCTTTTGTTGAACAGGTATTCTTTTAATTCTGTTGCGTTACATCGATTGATAAAAGCTAATGCTTAACCTTTAAGATGTGTATTTTGTATATCGTATGTATATTGTGGGCTAATTCTAATAAATGAACCAAACTATGTATGAGCAAATAATAAATAAACCCCTCTCCTTGTGTGATAATCCAATCAAGAGGACAAGACAGTTTCAGAAAACTTTTGAATAATAGCTTTTACAAATGCCAGAGCATATCAAAATCAATCAATCCACCAGTTCCTACCATTTGTTCGTTCGTCAGTAAATCCTGTGGTGTATTTTATTGACAAATACTCCATCATCATCTGTCTCCTTCGGTCCTAGCTTGAAGTCAAGTTCATAAAATAGTATAATTTATATAGTAGCCTTTCCTGACTGGTATAGTAAACTACAGATTGATTCCAGATGGTTGGCATTAGAACAATACATGAGAACAAGGTCTTGTAAACTAGAATGGTTTCTTATATCGTCTAGTAAATATCATCTGAAAAGGTATCTACCATAGTTTACAAGTAACGTAGACTTATCAGTTTAATATATTAGTACAGTTAAAAGATAGCTGAATATTTTGTTCATCATAGTTGCATAGTGAAATTAAAACTCTCAAATATATTTTCCGAAAGATTTATGCCGTTTATTTCAATCAATTTATACAATCTTCATGCGGCTCTGTATAACATAACCAATGTGTCAATATGAATCTTTTGGCCCTAAGGATATATAAATTATCATTTCAGATGCAGTAAAATACGATTGAGAGTTTTTTCATCAGAAATTATCTTCCCTAAAATTCCTTTATCACCTTTTAATATCGGCATTTTTCTAATTTGTACTTTTACCAGAGTTGGTAGTAATCTAAAATATCCAATATGCCTGTGTGCAGTTCATACCATAGCAAGATATTTTTTATATTGGTGGGAATAAGAAAACATACTTAAGATTCAAAACACTCCATACCATATGCTGAGTGACTGTGACATTACAGTGTTTCGTGTGTTGCTGTAACACAGAGATCTTGAACCTGGGGGTGTGGGTAATGAGGCGCTTTTTAACCCAGCATACAATATTTTGAACAATTATATCTTTTAAGATATCTCCATCATGAAATAGAAAGGGGGGGGATAATGAAATTTATCAATAATTCTGAAAGTGGTAATAATAGGAGAAAAAGGTTGAAAACCCCTCCTGTAACAAATGTAAACTACAATTTCAACTCAGTATCAATAGACTCACCTGTACTGACCGGTCCGAAATATGTCACAATTTGATTAAATCTCACGGTAACTTTTGATTATAAACCTTCCCTTATCAACTTCAAATACGTGGATAGATAAACTTGTCTTGTAATAAAAATATAAACACAATCACTCTATTGTCATCTACCTTGAACGATTCAATTAAATAAATTTAGTCCGACATGTAGACTCCACTGATTAACTATTCAGTTACAATCTTACAACAATACTAAAATATATGTCTGACTTAAAGGTACCTCCTTGTGACTATTATAAAAATATATATTAAACAGAAAATTCTTTGTAAGAATCAAAGAAATTGTGTAAACTAAAACAAATTCCCAGATATATCTGAAATCACCGTAAAGCACACCGCAACAATTAGTTCAATGTCAATAGAGTCAAACCTTAGCAACTTATTTCATATAGTCTTATTTCAATCTTCGTTCTTGTTTCAGAAAACCACAGCAAATATCCAATGATCACATTTTACTTTGGATTTAATATTCCATACATTGTCTTGTACCTTGTAACCCGTTTTTCTAGTAAGTTACTGACCACGCCGGTTTTCTGTAATCCATTCACAACAGTCGTTATTTGTGGACACCGACCAATAGTGAAACAATCCACACTACCCCCACTCTAAAACAAACATTCATTGGCCAGCGTAACAGAATACATATTCATTCATATAAACCTGTCTCCAAAATCTCTAACGAACGCGATACCATATCTACAGTAAAGAAGAACACGATACGCGATATCGACTAATGCATCCAAAAAATAGACAACAACAGCAACGGATGACCTGAGCATGGAACAAGGAAGTAGAGTGTCTAGTTATTATAGTTAAATTATATTATATATACTGTTAACTTACTTGCTTATTTCAAAATAAGAATCACACAGTGGTTTTTGCACCAAACTTTCCTCGAGATGTTCAATTAGTTTCGAGCACAAGAAGAAAAAAAACAATACTGAAAACAACGAGCTTGTTTCTTTCACTGAGATAGACAGATTAGTTTGTACTGAGACTCTATTTAGACTTGATGATAGAATACATCTGACCATCCCAGTAAATGATTATGGTGTTGAAAGCTCGAGCAGATATCAAGTACAGATTTGTTCACTCGCATTAAGTACATCTCTATTTAAACACCCCATATATTGGCGAAACCTTGCAAAACGAAATATGCTTGGAACTCGCTAGAAGAAAGTTGACATCGGTAATAAGGACAAGGAGAAGACCAATCCTGCAGTATTGCTACCATAACAACCGATTCCGACAGACACACAAAGACAAAATCACCCCATTAAGAAAAATAAATAGTGCACAATTTATTTGATATGCTACTTACAACGAAAATATAGTGATGAATATCATCATTATGTGATTAACTTCCTATCAGCGTATATATCAACAAATTGGTGATGCATTAGCTTTGCTAAACAATCACGTTTGGTTTTGAGAAGGCTCTTAAAATAGTTGTTTCCCGTATACAAATACAAATACAAACTACAGCATCAACTATATTCCTTCTAATGTTTGATATTTGACAAAAATAATGTAGACAGGTTTCCATCTTTCCGTCACTACATTTTACATCACTATATATATTTCACATAATTACAGAACGTAATATACTACTAACAATAATATATATATACAAATTCGAGAAACCAGTCACTCGAATATTCAATGAATGGTATAGAAAGTTAAATATACATTACCGTTAAATAATATTACCTAAACATGGCGCCATTCGTCATGATATATAATATAATATAAAATGTAAGAGTAATCCGAAAAAATAGAAAATAGAAAATTCACGCTTTACCTGGGTAAATATTGAATTCTTTGAACACCTTTCATTTGACTTTAAAAATCGTTTGACCTACATAAAACTTTTTATCTAGACTTTTAAAGGTAACCAATTTGTTCAGCCACCAATTTAAAACCACTTCATACAAGAAAATCGACACTTGACAAGGAAATGAGAATCTTTAAGAAGCTGTATATTACAACAAACTTAACATATAGTTTGCTTGTGTGGCTCCTTTCAGAATGTGTAAACTATATACTACCAAATCAATGGTATTTTGTTTTTGTCGTATTCTTGAAACAATCTCAAGAAAAAGTTTGCTCTCCATTTGACAGAGATTTGAAAATTGGGTGGAATTACTACTACATGTATTTTGATTAGGAATATGAAATTTACGATATTTTTAAAAAATGGAACAAACTGAATTTAGGCCCGTGAACACCACAGTCTCATTAGCTTAATGACATAGAAAACTTAATTTGTGTATGTGACAGTGGATGAATGCACATTTGAACACACATTTGTGTTTTACATTGTTTTAAACTCGTATTTTTAGAATTATAGAATTGTGAAACTGTCAAATATTGAAGTATTTTAGAAGTTATCGCGTGAAATTAGAAGATTTAGTGCAAGATAAGAAATAATCAGTGATGAAATCTGAAGAGTGTGCATGAAATTAATCAAGTTTACAACCAACAAATTTCAAGATATAATTTGAACACATTATTTGTTATACACAATTTCAACCTTGGGATGTTTATGCTCTCTTAAATCAATACGTCATAACGAAACAATGTATAAGGCTGTAGTGGTATTTAGATGACACAAAATTTCAGTTCTCTTTCGCTTTACTTGGCAAACAGAATCACTGGAAAATATTTGCGATACACTAACCAAGCGATTGAATATACAGATGATTACTTTAAAAGATATACACGCAAATTACCCAAAATAAAAAAAAATATATGTCATATTTGCAAGACAAAAATCTAACAAAGCAATAGCTTTGAATCAAGAAGACACTGTCAGACAAGAAATGTTACACTAAATTCGGTGACAATTTTCCTCTCAAAATACAAATCAAACATAAAACTTGATCAAATCTAGTCTTCACCATCCAGTTCTGAATTTAACACGATTGAAATTTGTGGTCAGAGAGATCGAGACTATCTTGAATAAATATATAAATATGGACGAACACCGGATGTAGTCAAATGGACACAGCGGAGTTTACAATTACACAATGGATAACAATAAGGTGTCGATTTCGTCTGAGAATTTTTACAACCTCTCACTATGCCTGTAATAGTCCAGTCACATACGATTCTAAAAATCTTAAATGTCAGCGATAATCAATCAAAAACACAGTGGGAAAGTAACATCTCAAAACTATTCCATTCATTTAAGTTTGTTCATGCTTTGTGGAATAAAAGATGGGGCTAAAAAAGAGTGAAGTTCAACTTTCAGAGTTAAAACAGACTTATATCAAAACAGCAGTTAGCTTCATGTAGTTACAGAAATACTCATGGTCATTTGTCTATGTTTCCAGATTACAAATTTCCTTTATATCATTTTGTTACGAACATAAAAAGCTAATGACATAATACAACACCTTTTCTCACACCACACACGAGTTTATATTATAAACCAATTTGTCTAAACTGTTCGCACTTTCCATGATATACACAGTTTTAATGGTGTTTGAAATAGAACCATTTTAAAGTGCAATCACATTCTTGCCTCCACATTCGCTTTGCCTATTTCAGAATGTAACACTGTTGATTCGTACGCTATTTTGAATATAAGATCAGAACATTTTCTATTAGCTTGATTGACTAACATTATATGAACTTTTGTATGAAGAGAGGAAAGAACATGTTTTATTTTAATTACAGATTTAGACAGAGATGAATTTGGTTTAAGATTTAATTTCAATTCTTGGTTTCTTTTCAAGACTAAAAAAGTCCTAGACAACTGAGCATGTAAGGTGAACACGATTGTTTCTGTATTTCTTGTGATCTTACACGTACTAGACATAAGTTAAATGTGACCACCCATTGAGAATTAACACTTTCAATAAACATCATGGCTCAAACGGACATAAATAGGAGTTAAATGGCTCCATTTTCCTTTTAAATTTATCCTTCGTTAAAATTCTAATATAAATATTCTATTAAGAATAGTGGAGATCCAAGACAATTTCTATGATACAGCGCTAAATGTTGAATTACAGTAATTATATGAAATAAACAATTTCAAACAATCGTATTATATCATCTGTAAGGAATAAACACTGGCAAAATGCAGACATTACAGTCAACGATTTGAAGCAGTGGGAGATTCCAGAAACAAGGATCGACAAATAACATATAAACTATATTTGAAGGTTGTTTATAAAACTGGAGTTGAATTGCTTTCAAAAAGACTGATGTTTTCTGGGACAGGCTGTTGGTCAAAATGACGGAAAAAATTAAACGTTTGTTGAATACGGTGAAAGATTATTTTGATAAGAGCTATAATAAATACACCAAGACTGTGTTAAATATATTTCTATGGAATATTTACATCATAAAATACCTGTATCATATAAATGTCAATAGAGCTATCATATATTAAAGTATTTTATTCAATCTTTACCATCTTTACAGCATTAATAGGTACCACTTGAAGCACTTTGGTTATTCCACGTAACAACTTGAGTATATTGAGGGGTATTGTTGTTTCAAACAGTAAGATATTGCTAGACAAGTGGGAAAAGAACACGATGTGAAACTTTGATAATCTTGTTCTGGAGTTTGTTCTCACAACTTACTTTGATGTTTCGCGTGATTTGTCTGATGTAAGAAATCAGGAAGATAATTTAGTTGTTTGGGATATCTTATAGACTATATTACATGTTTTATATCTTTTAAGTGAGGTTGATATCAACCTTTCGGCTGACAGAACTGGGAGCAACTCGTGAAATTTAGGAGAAATTGATCATTCCCTGATTTAGTGAGCGCACCCAGGCCTTACAGTTCCATCACTTGCGTTTCGTCAATGTTGACTTCAACGGATAATGTGAGATGGTTGGAATCGCAAGTCGACAAGAGCCAACTATTTCCTGCACGAGGAGAGAATAACGCAATCAGATTTGATATCCTTTGGGCCAGATGACGACATAGATTTGCATCGCTCAATCTTTACAGGTTAATCGAAAATGATGCTTCATGATCAGTATTTATGATGAAGACTGGTGGTATTAGACTGTTAATGACCCTAGAAAGATCTGCTACACCAACAGAGACATGGCATCAGATTCAATTTGACTGGTTGCCAAGAATAATGAATGCTTATCATCAATTGTTTACTTAATGCAAATAGAGAGAAAGGCAGACGTATAAGACATTCTACACCGTTTTTCTTGCATCAAAGATAATCTGACTACTGGTTGATTAAAATAAAGCTTTAACACTTTCTTATCGAACAGTAACAGAATAACACCGAAATGTCAAATCCTGTAGGTCTAAAACCAGAGGATTCGATATAATCAGGGTGGGATTGATATGCCGATCTGTACCAGTATAATTTTTTGGTAGGTTCTTATTTTCCTACTTGCTTGATAGATGCTTGGAAGAGGATACTGAATGGAAAAATCTATTATATTTTGACAAATGTTGGTTGTGAGAGTTTCAACAAAAAATTTTTCTAAGAAAATGGTGTCTGAAAACATTTTTTGGAAATTTAGAAACATTTTTTCGGGAACAAACTGTGAGTCTGTGGTGTTCCGTCCTCGACCAGTCAACATACAACATCTTGTTATCTTAACTACTTATTAAGACCTCTTAAACAAATCTATTCTTAGAAATATCGGTACCCTTTGATAGCCGGTAGACTGAACTGGAACTTCCTACTGGAACTGACCTGGATATAAGAATATGTCGTGGGTGAAGAGAAATCACACCAATGAAATCTAACAATATATTGGCCTGAGACTGAAGCGATAAATCCTTATCCGTTGGTGAATTGGCAAAACCAGTTGTCTTTAGAAATATTTACTCAAAGAATAGAAAAGGGAGTATCTAATTTCATTATCCGTAATAATCGAGATTGTTGAAATAGTAAATAAAAATAAAAGATATCTAGATCTTCAGAATTACAAAGACAAATAAACCTTTTGTCTAGTGAATGAGGAATGGTTTTTGTTTCTTTGTATATCTATTTCCGGTTTTTTAGTTTGTATCTAATACGTTAATATCACGTAAAATCCGAAACGCGCGATTCTAGATCTGGGTTCATATAATTAATAAAATAATTAACCCAGTTTAAAGTCTTAACCATTAGCTACAATCAAAGTCGAATGTTATCGGAAAAGATTAGAACAAATTTGAAATTGAAAAGGAAACATCTTCGTTTGTCGTCTGAGAGTAGGTGATGAGGGTGGACCATCCGAGTGTCAGACCTAAAGAGCATTTGGAAAATCTTCACTGATCATGATAGTTTATGTGGTGATGATCAACCAAACGGTTAAACTGCAGAATTCCACATAAATGTACATATCTATTCTGTCCTACCATAGATGTTAACCGCCAAAATAGGTAGCAGAGGTATTGGAAGTTTCGAACTAGATCTGGTAGTGATGAAATGAGATGACGCAATGTTATTCTTGAAGAAGGCGGAATGACTGGGTGATTATTGAACATTTGGTGTTTGAAACGCCTTTCTGTGGTATGTCTATACTATAAGCTAGCATGATATATATACAAACTATATTGTATTTTATTTGAAAATATCTTACATCAAGGCCGTGGTGTCAGTAACACGTCAAACACTCCTACACAATATGCAACTTGGAAAGCCCTAGCTTTGAAGGCCACCATATTCACGAATAGTTTTGTGCGTTATATTGCCGCTCTTGCGTCGTTCTCTATGGAAGTTTTGATCGTCTCCAATTGAACTTTAAGATGCATACCAAAAAATCAACAAACAACATTTTCTTTTTCTACAAATGTCAAAGTTGTTATTATAAACTATGTTACCTCAAAATTTATTTTAAGATTTTTCACTAGAGGATATTTTCAAAGAAAAGAAAAGCCACCCTAGGGTTATTATCTATTGAAAATCAGCGATCGATATAGACTGCACCAATAACATGTATATTACCTAATATGGGGAAGTCTTTGATTTATTCCCTCCTGGATTCACCAATAGTTCCACTCTCTTATCAAAGAGGCTGGAAAATTAATAAACTGTAAACCCTCAATTGATTTAGCAATAAATTTCAGCCCAGTTAGATAAAGTTGATCTTATACATAAAGACAAGTTAATCAAGAAATTTTCCACATGATTTTTTTTATAAACAATATGTTATTTATTAATCAAAAATGGTACAGTTAACATGGAATATAATAAATACGATACAGAAAGAAGCTGACGCTTAATTAAAACTGCTTCGCGGAATATTAGCCATAAAACACATTTTTTAAGTAGTAAGACCTGAACTAAGTAACAGTATAATACAATAAGATGTGGGGCGAGAGTTTGTACTTATCCCTCTATCTGTAATAGGGTCGGTCAGTGGTCAGCATCATCCATGTGTAAATAGGGAGGCAGGAGACTGTTCACTGTTGGCGTCGTCGTTGCTATAAAGGAATAGTATTCAGAAGCAGTAGGTTTTCAGATAATGTTATCGTGTTGTATTAATATGTTTTCCGGTATTTGACTTACTCCTTTAGTGGTTGAACAGTCAGTGACGTGTATCAAGGCATTGAGTGGTCTGCATTTTCTAAGGGATGCCCTTGGGGACATCTTGGGTCGTCAGATATGAACATAGAAAATTTGTGAGCATTTAGATCACTTTTGGAATGTCTAAGGCGACAGTGTAATATTTGAGTTGTTCGATTTCCAGTATAGTGATAGGTTGGTATTTTAGAATCTGTTTCTGATAGACTGCGTTTAAGTGTAGCGATAGTTTCACATAATTTGACTTTTTCCGATTGGCTATTCCATAATTCAACCGCTGAAGGTCGGAAGGAGACCTGGTATTGAGTAGAATTGGTTGCTATTGTTCTAAGGTTACCCTGATTACGAACAGGATATGGGTTTATAAGAGATATAGTTGGTGGGACAAAAATGGATAGATATTGGGGAACTAGTTTATTAATCATTTTGTAGAAAAGTATTATTTTGTGACGTTTACGTCTTTCTGATAGAGGAGTATATCCAGATTCTCGGTATAAGACGGCATGAGAAGTACCCCTTACAAGACCAGTGATCGTATGAATGGCGTCTAGTTGCAGCTGTTCTAGTTTATTGCTGTCTTGTTCGGAACAGTTATCCCAAATGACATCTGCATAGTCAAATAATGGTAAGATAAAAGATTTAAAGATAGTATTAAGAGATTGACGACATAGGCGATATTTCATGCTGCGAAAACAATAAACCATTTTGTTAACTTCAGAAACGATGCTGGAAATATGTGTAGTCCATGTACCAGAGCTATCGAAATGTAAACCAGGATGTTTATGTTGATGAACGTCGTTTATCGGTTGGTTTTGAACTTGACTGGTACTGTACTCGGTGACAGTTTTCTGCTGAAGGTCATGGAGATTGTTTTTGTAGGGTTAAAGACAACTTTCCAGTTTTCTGCCCATTGGGATAAGATTTCCAAATCACAGTTTAGAATTTCTCGGCATTGGGTAGTTTTATCAATTGTAATGTACAGAGAGGTGTCGTCCGCATACAGGTGAATATTGGAATTGATTTGTTTTACAGTGTCATTGATGTATATGAGGAAAAGGAGAGGACCTAGGACTGAGCCTTGTGGTACACCATTAGGAATAATCTGTGAATTAGATCGATGACTATTTAAGACGACAAGTTGTTTACGATTTTGTAAGTAGCTACTTAGTAGAGAATAGAAATTACCTCGTATCCCTAGTTGGTACATTTTGTACAGGAGACCCTTATGCCAGACACGATCGAAGTCTTTACTGATGTCACAGGAAATAGCTTTAACCTCATGGCCGTCATCGAGGCTTTTCAGAATGTAATCGCTTATGTCAATTAATTGGTATATGGTTGAGGCATTTGGCCTGAAACCAGATTGGAATAAGGTCAAGATGCTATTTTCAAGTAAAAAATTGTATATGTGATTAAACATGCATTTCTCGAAAACCTTACCGATAGTGCTTAGAAGTGGAACATTGACATTGTTCACCATTCTTATGGATTGGAACGACGATCGCCTTTTTCCACTCGTTGGGGTAGATTGCTGCAGAATCAAGAATGTTGAATTGTCTGGAGAGTGGTGCAGATAGACATTCGGAGCAGAGTTTTAATATCCTGTTACTTATATAGCTTTGTTGTTATCAAGAGATTCTAAGATGTTTTTAACTTCATGCACAGTGTAATAGGTTGTTCAATTTCGGAATCGTTTAGTGGTAAGGCTAAGGGAATGCTATCTGAATTATCAAGTTTAGATTGGTTGATGAAGTAATTATTTAAGAGGTTGGCTTTTTCTGTATCTCCAAAAAAAAGTTCATTATCTGATTCTAGAGGTAGAAATGTTGTTGCCACGTTTCAGTGCATGAGATTTCAGTAATGCCCACCAATCCTTTTCTCTGATAGAGTTACTGTTAATTCTTGAGTCAAGTTTTTCATCATGTTGCAATTTGCTTTTTTCTGATCTTAGAAGTAACATGATTTCTAAAAGATTTGAAATCTTGCCAATCTATTACAGATTTAGAAAGTTTATATTTTTTGTATTTTCGATTTCTTTGTCGTATAAGTGTACGTAAATGTCCATTGAACCACTGGGGATCTCGTGGGCGAATTGTGACCTCTTTGTTAGGAACAAAAGTGTTTATACCTTCAATTATGACATTTGTGAATGCAAGAGATATAGTTTGAGGACTATGTGACAGAAATAAAGAGTTCTAATCCGTTTTTTGGTAGAAATCAATTATGTCAGAGGTATTCAATTTAGAATAGTTCCAGATGTGCCTCTTGTAAGCTATATTCATAAATTGTTCAAACTGAATGGTGAGGTTGGTTGAGGCATGATCACTGATGGCATGTTCATTGACACTAACAGATTCAATGAAGTTTGGGCAGCTGACGATGATGAGATCAAGACCACTAGAAGAATGATCGGTTATTCGAGTAGGTTCGGTTATAAGTTGACTTAAGTTGAAATGTTCTATGACGTCATGTAGTCGGCTGTTTTGAACAGAAAGGAACTTAACGTTGAAGTCGCCAAGGATGATGACATGCTTGTTCAGGTCCATTGCTTTAGAGATATTGGATTCTATTTTAGTCCAGTACTGAATTGGGGCATCTGGGTTACAGTAGAAGCAGCCTACAAGGAAGCTTTGGTGTCTTTTTTTCAGTTCCACCAATGCAGCTTCTAAGCCAGGTGATTGGAGCTGTAAACAGTGCTTGTTGAAAAATCTCTTGTTTATGTATATAGCGACACATCCACCAAGGGCGCCAGACCTATTGCACCTGATCGGCTTGTGGTAGTTTTTGAGCATAATGGGTTCTATTTCAGAATCAGTTAACCAAATTTCTGAGAGGGTTAAAACATCTTTATCATGAAATGCTGCTTTGATCAAGTCAATTTTACCAGTTAAACTACGTACATTTTGGTGGCTAACAGAGATAAGATGATTTCCTGGACCAGGATTTTGTTCATGTCACCACAGACTGTAAGTGAGAAATATAGTCTGAAAATATGTGAAAAAGACTCGAAGAGTATAAAGAATCTCCGATATATCCGATACAGAACCGCACAAGATGAGCCAGAATGGTCATTTACTGCCAAATCCATGGCTTGATTCTAGTTTAGAAAGCGATCCAAGGTACCCAAGAAAATAATATGTAGACAGAAAGATAGTGGACAGATGCAGAGGGGGGAATTGTAACATAAGATAATGTATAAAACAGCAAGGTAGGTAAAATAGGTCTGTGCAAAGTATAGCGAAAAACAATATATATATACAGTATGTACATTTGGAAAATTTTGGGGAGCATAACTGTGGACCGGGTAATGTGGATTGTGAAAGATAAAGATAATGTCATACAAAATAACATTCACATACGCGTATACGTATATTATAAAAATATATGTATATAAACATCACACAATGCTTTGCGCTTTTCATATAATTATTAATGTAATCATATTATGTAAAACTAGATCTAAGATTTTCATGTATTAACGAAACAATAATCTGTTTCATATTACTTGATAAGCGTTTTACCAAAAACCATCCAGCAGAGAGCCAATCAGTCTAGCATTAAGAAATGATTTTATTCCGAATACTTGAAAGTTCGATAAGCTGATTGAATTTGTTTGCTATACTGTGACATTTCATAGTTTACAATCAAAATAACTTTTTATTTTAATCAAATAATTCATCTTCAATTTTATCTCAAATCGAATTTACTAACTCACTTTTCATTTCAAATCAATATAGGTCATGTTTTCTCAAGAAACTGAATATGAGTTTTCAATATTAAGAAAGCTCAATATTTTCGCTACTAATTTGTAATACACTAATGAAGGAACATATATTCAGAATTCTTTGGTGTGCAAAGATGTCACACAATATTTTCTCTGCAACACGTCCGAACCACTTGCAAATTTCTCTTTTTAAAAATACATGTTCAGAATTCATAGCAAAATAATTTGATGTCGTTTCCTGATCGTTTCGCTAATCGATTCCTATTCGTTCCACGTTTTCCTTGGCCGTTTCCTGGTCGGTTCATCTCGGTTCATGTTTTAGTTTCTGCATGTGGGCTATTTTAGTCGGGCAATGCTATGCAGGGGACAATGAGGGATATTTTTCAAGGACAGTGACATAATCCTGCTCTTTTTCGATTTCCAACTGTCGGTGTATCTTTAACGTGCACAAGAGATTGACAAAAGAACACTGAATTACCGATGTATAACAAAGGAGTTACGTAAAAACAATAAATTGAATAGTTAAATTGAACATCGGTTACTCTCCTGGAAACCATTCTTCACATTTTTTACCACCCCTGGCGCTACCTGGTAGTTAAAATACATGCCATATTTTAATTCCAGTAATGTAAACTGAACGCATTTCTTAGAACAAGGGCGAAAACTCAAGACATAATATTGAAATATTAATTCAAAGACCCAATAAATAAAGACATAAAGATACATCAATTACCATGGATTTTCCCATACCGAAAGTTTTTTTTAAAGTGAAGCTCCTTCTGCTTAAAAAATGCCTAATTTAGTCACATCATAAGGTCGCTTCGTCCTGTATATCGCAGTTGTGTGTCTATATGATATAAATTTTAAATTTTCAATCAGAATGGACATGAAATCAACAGACGTGAAATTACTATAATTTGTCTAAGTGAACAGTCGCCATGTTGTTTAAATCTTCTTTTTCAAACAAAAATTATGCAACAGACGGATAAATAAATGGCTCGCCAGCTAAATAAAAATCATGGATAAAATATTAACTCAGTTTATAGAAAACACTTCAATTCAAGGACAAATTAATATAATTTGTAGGGATAATATCAAATTCTTTTTGTCACCAAATAGAGTCGGCATGGTAATTGTATGGAATATCAGAGAAATTATTTTCAAATTAGTGCATATCTATTTCAATAATGTATTGCTATAGGCCCAAGTCCCTCCCCCCCCACCCCCCCCCCCCCCCCCTTTGTTCTTTGTTATTCATTCTTTTATTACTCCTACTCACCGTGTGTTCTCAATTGGTTGCTTGTTGTACCTTTTGTTGTCATATACTTATCCTTAACTAGTGCTTCTTTGTTGTTATAATTTGTTCTTTTATCTTCCCACTGGCTTTTAATATCTCCTTATAAATTGTAATGTTTTTTGTTGTTAATCATTTTACTTGATAACGTTACCTGTATGTGTTCCGAAACGTAGTATGTAATAAATGCAGAAGTAGTATATCCATATATCTTAGTGTTTTAATATCAGAGAAGTTTAAATCTTTAAATTAATCAATTGATATCACAAATCGACGTAAACCTCGATGTAATTCCAACTAGCATTTAGATACAATTAAAATATTACATTCAAATGGCTGACATCGTTACTGAATGCAGCCAATCAAAATGATGGCGGATGACAAAGGAGACACTTCAGATCGGAATGTGCCAATTATAAATTTCAAATTAAAGTAATAAAGACTACTTGAAAATTGAGAATTATTTCAAGGATATTACAAAATTGCAACTTTCATGCAATCAGCGACTACTTTAAAGCCATTACTAGACAGTTATACGGCTATTAGAAATATTCAATATAATTTTCTATGGAATTTTGTTGATTTTTATACCATCCCAACAAATGGCGTCATTTAGAAATAGCAAATGAAAACTTTATTGTGAACTCAGTTTTCACTGACCGGATTAGGAATACCAAATATATTGT